TAAATGTTGGATGGTTTTTTTTCTTTTTTTCAGATAGGTATTTCTTAAAGATTTACCAGCATACAACTAGCAATAAATAAAGAGTTGGGGGCAGTGGTGGGATTCAAATATGTGAACAACCGGTTCTGGGTTGTTCCAGAAGTCCATTCTGGGCCTGGGCAACAAAAAAATTAGCTACCAGTTCTACTAAACTGGTGCGAACTGGCTGAATCCCACCACTGGTTGGGGGTCACAAAGCTTTGTTTAACTCATTTATACAGAGAGATGAAATTTCATCTGGGCCAAATGCTTTTGAGCAAGCTGCTTGGGACCATGTTTAGGAAAAATAGTGTTGAAGCTGAAACTAAAATTAGAATTGATTTATGTGTCAGATGTGTCAGCCCTACAAGGCAAACCATATCACAGAGCAGACACCACATAGGCCTAACACTATTTTAATTATAGTGGGTGTATTAACACAATCTTTCAAGTCTAAATGTGCTTCCCTTCCTCCCTCTTTTATTTTCATGTCAACTGGTAGATAGAAAGTGCCTATTTGAGATATTTTTATAAATTTGTCTCTTTGTGTGGGCTTATGGCACATTTATCTGATCATTGCCTTTGTAATAGATCTTCCCTCTCTCTGTCAAGGTCATCCTCTAGTCTAAACTCTCTGCAATATAGTTAATATTCTCTGCTCCTAAATGGAGTACTCTTCTCTTTTCTCAGGATACCTGAAGGTGGTAGGTGTAAAAAAACATCAAAATAGCAACCATGACTGTTACCCTCTTAAATGTTTAGACCGCCTCTCCCTCCATTGAAGGCCAATACTTGTGTCCTATTAAAAATATATATAATTTGGTAACAACCTTTGGAATCTCTCAAGCCTCCATTCAAGTCTTTTGGAACATGCACAAAGTTTTTGTGCTTCAGGCTTCATGCCTCTTTTTTTGTACTCAGTTCTGACATAGACTAGAGCAGAAGAGATTCCTAAACTTTTTGCCATTAGTCTTCCCTTTAGTGTAATCTTAATGTACATACCACCCCTAAAAAATACAAACAACAAAATGAACACAAATGAACACTGAAAACAATACAATGGAACTTTGAGAAAGCTGGAATTTCTTTTGGTAATAATGCAACTACAGTACTGTAAAAGGTTCTTCACACTTCCCCTGGATGTTTATTGGTTTATTGTGATTAGTTTATTGGTTTAACCCCCCCCCCCAGTTTTTAACTCTTTATTTGCCCTTTATCATTTTTATCTGAGAGTTTTCTTGTTCTGCTAAATTCAAAAGACTTTGACGTTTTGCCTCAGATAGCAAATACTCATTAGAAAGCCCAGGCTTTGTTTAATCATTATCCAACCTTCTATTCAGAACAGCAGGTAAATATTCAGACAGAAAAAACATCAAATTCCTGTAAGATGTTTCATTTCCTAGTTACTCCTTAAAGCAGTTGTTAACCTTTTCAGTCTCAGCATATCTGTGACTTATTGGTCCCATTCTGACACCTGTAGCTGACAGTAGAGTGTTGTAGGATGCACTTCACCAATTTTCCAAATCACTTCAAAAGAGCATAAGCCAATATATGAAGAAAGCAGGAGATCACTTTCCTATGAACTACGGTTAAAGTTGAAGGTTCCTAGTGAATTACATTGTTTCACTCTGAAACAGGAATCTAGAGTTCTAAGAAACCTAGTACTAGAATAACACTAGGATAATGATACCAATTTAGCAGAGATCCCATTTAGTCTAGTAGTATAATAGTATTACTGTACAATAATAGTTAGAATGCTGGCCTAGAAAGCAAGAGACCATGAATTCTAGGCCTTCCATGGACATGAAAGACAGCTGGGGGACTTTGGGCCAGGTTGCTCTCTTTCACTCCCAGCCTCAGAAGATTGTTATTGTGGGGAAAATAGGGGACAGGAATATTCAGAAGGTTTGCTGCCTTAAGTTATATACATTATATACATTAACAAGATGGGATAAAAATCTAAACATCATCATCATCATAGTCTTCTAATTATGGTTAGTTTACAACTTGTGTCTGTCATATTAAAGGCCTTTCCATACTTATGCCTACAAAGGGGCATAAAGATTACTTCTTTATATTTCTTTTCTTTTTCTTTGCTATAGTTTTATGTTTAATTTCTCTTTTTCTTTCTATATTATTCTTTTCCCCCTTTCTGCATTTTCTATTTTTTCTTTTTATTCTTGCATTTTTATAATTTGCATTCATTTGTAATCTGTTAACTGAAATATTTAATGCAACTATTATAAAAAATAGAATGAAGCCTTTTGTTATAATTCAATAAAATATTAAATACAGTTATAAGAAGACATTTTCACTTCTAGCAGAGAATAACAATAGACAACATCTAGCCACAATAATTAATAGATAGCAGGAATGAGGAAGCATAAAATTAATTGTAAAGTAGTGTGAGTGCTCTATTTCTAGACATATATTCCTGTAAGGTGCAAGATCATATTCTTTATTTTCCTAGTTAACTTTTAAAAGAAATAGGAAAAAATGAAGACTCTCTTGAATCAGTTTTGACTCCTGATGAATACATACAAGTGAGTTTCACTGCCTCCTCCTCTATTTTTTTTTTTTTTTACACTTTGGAACAAATCCTTTAGTTCTGGGACTTACCGTACCTATGGTCTTTTATTTTAGTATTAATTATGCCCAACCAAACATAACTTTGGGGAATCAACCAAAGTTCAGTTGGTGCTGCCATTTGGTATAAGTTTGCTAAATATTAGGTGAATACTCACGTTGATCATTTGGATTTACCAAAACTTATAAGCCATTTTGTTTCATGGTTAGGAGGGAATTGAGGAATAATATATGCAAGAAGAATCTGAGAGGGTTGGCCTTTGATGTGGGTCAGTTGAATTTGGGTGAAGCTGAAATTTAATGTACTAAGTTACTCTGAGTTTACTTAGGGACATAAGAAATACAGGGTTGACTCATCTTAATTTAGATGTATTAACATATGTTGAAAGAACAGCAAAGCACTAACTGCTATTTTGTGGGATAATTTCAAGAGTAAGTTTCAAGTTGGGTAGGGACAAATAGATGTTTGCTCTGAGGCTAGATTGTGGCAGAAGCCTGTTTCACTATTCTAAGCTATTAAGAGACATTTCAACTGTCACTGATATTAGCTGAAGTTTAAAACATGTAGCAGGAATGGTGGGTATCTAAAATGGTCCCAAAGTACCTTTTCATAACCATTAAATCTATATCCTCAGGCTTAGAGTGTCAGGATGAACTATAAACACACTGCTAATGTTGACTATAAACTAGAAGTAATCTTTACAATGGTAGTTCAGCCCCAAGCCAATTTGCCCATCATCTCTGTAATCTGTCTGGCTCACCTATTTCCTCTTTGTTGTTACTTATCCAAACAAAACACCCTCAACTCATTTCAATCTTTCTTCATACTATTATTAATGCATTTGTTTTAACAGTATATACTATTATTATAGTTGGTTGCACAGTCAGCCAAATGTTTAGATTGGATTTGGCATTTTTATCCACCTAGGAGTCCTTCTCAAGGACCTGGGATGGGGAGATTGTTGTTTAATGGTGTTAAAAATATTATCACAGGATGTAAGCCATTCCAAATAAAGCTGCCTTTTGCAATTGACTGATGGTAATTTTTGTTAATGTAGATGGCACTCAAATGATACTCTACATATTTTGGGATTGCATAAAAGGTGCCTATTATTAGTAGTACTATCTTTCCTTTCTTTTGCCAGAGTTGTTGTACTTCTGTCTCCAGGTCTTTATAGTTTGTGGTTTTCTCCAGTTCTTTCTCTTCGGTTCTGCTCTCTTCAGGTACTACAGCATTTTCTATCCAGATTTTGTTTTTCTTATCAACAATTGCTAAGTCTGGAGTGTTATGTGGCAGATGCTTATTATTATTGCTCTGATATGAATAAATAAAAATTATGAACTTAGTTTGCTGTATTTAAAAGATGAGGAAACTTAAATCCCAACTATCTACAAGATGCTTTGAGTTTTGCAATAATTAAACAAAAGTGTTGTCAGTGGTGCTTGTCTTATTATGCAAAATGTTTTATAACTGCCTTGAAAGCCAGGACTGTCAATGACAGAGTCCACACCACTGTTCATGTGAATAGCATTTGCTTAAATATACCATGGGCCAGGACAAAAGAAGTGCACACTTCAAATAGATTCAAGGACTTGGATATCCCTAAACTGAATTACCTCTTTGCCTTGATTAACATACCCAAACCATGATGTACAGCTTTTGAAAGCCAATGCTCAGATTTCAAAAACTTTTTAATATGTGACGTTAGGAAATGGTAACTTGAGAAATACTAGTCTAGAGTCTCTTGAACCCATAAAAATAATTGCCTAATTTCTTGGATTCTGTCCAAAACATTGTTGTACCTCATCCAGTGTCATTTTCTATGAGATGGGGGATAATTTGATTAATGAATGGTTGAATAAATATCCTTAACATTTTTTATTTGAAGGGCTATAGACACAGCATTATCAGGCAGACTTTATATTCGAGAATTCCAAATCATGATGAAATGCAAAACTATTATTTCTACATTTTCTAGATTGACTTAATCATTATGTATGTTGATGCATCCTAAAGTCTCCCTAGTTATAATACTTGGGGGAAGTTTAAAAGATTGCACTGTGTGGATTCCACTAATGAGAGTTAGCAATATAGCAGAATGGATTTACGAACTGAATTTGCACTCTCTCTACATTTAAATAATATTTGTCTTGGTCTTGAACAGTGATACAAACCATAAGCAATTTGTAAATATTGCAGGAAAAATATTTTAGCATATTTAGAAATATATTTTAAAAGTGGAATAAATAATAGTAAAGTATATCTCTATGTGTGTTTATGTGCATGTATGTGTGTGTATGTGTATGCTTTTGTGCGTGTATTAGATTTGTCTAATGAGGCATTTATGTTTACTCCTTTTTATATAATCTTAAAGTCCATCTTTCAACCTTTTCAGGATGCTCAAGAAACACATGGGGTAGCTGTACCAACCCCATCTGTTCCAGAAAGTTTTGAGGACAAGCTACCTGCAGGTAAGATGATAACTGGGATTGCATGCTCACCATATCTAGTATCTGCATAGATAATAGTTTAGCTATAGTTCATCATCTCATTTGACAGTGAAATCATAAATTTTGTTTCAGTATATCATCTTGCAGTCTTAGCACAATGTTGTTTTTTGTTCCTGAACTTTTGTGAAACTGCATAATCTATCATTCATATTTAGAAACTTAGGACTGAAACAAAAGGCAACATGTTTAGATGTTGACCACATTTTATGGAAAGGGTCTTTAGGTGGTGTAAGTAGGGAATTCATCTACTAGGAGAACAGAAAGATCATTTTTGATTTCAGGATCCATTATTCCTATTAAAGTAAGCCAACCATTTGATGGTTATAGGCATTGTGGCAACTATGATTACTTTTAAATAGTGACCATGAAATAGCATTACAAAAATAATTGTTTTCAGCTTGCTGTTGTTTTTGGCTTGGCATTGCTTTTATTGCTGTTATTTATGCTGTTTTATTGTAGTTTTAGAGGATACCGTAGATGTTTTAAATAGTTCTTTTACAGTTTATACAATGGCGTGATGGAAACTATTGAACACCTGGCTCCATTGCCACCTCTGTCCAGCTAGCCAGAGTAGTGTGCTAGGCATGTGGTTCAGTTGTGTTCCCAAGTGGCTTGCAAAATTCCAGAAAATTTAACAGTTTTTGTGAGTTTGCTCCAGAACATTACTGAGTCTGTAAGTCACCAAGAATGAGAGCGAGAGCTGCAGCTTTGCAGAATTTTGCCACTAGATCTTACCTGGGTATTTTAAATTGTTCTTTTATAGTATATATAGTAGTATGATGGTAAATGTTCTTTATATTATTTATCTTCTTTATGTTTTTTTCTTTTTTCTATTTTTTCAATTTTTTTTGACTGTTTACACTTTTTTATTATTTATAATATAAAATATAAAAATACAAAACCAAATAGGAAAAATAAGGGAGAAAAGGAAAAAAAGCATTGACTTCGACTCCCTCTTGTGCAGAAGAATAAAACAGTAACATCAAACTTCAACTTTTTACTTTTATATAATAGTATAAATTAGCCATTTCTATAACAACACATCTATCTAATCAGTAAAATCCAAAATCAACGTTTCATTTTTTTCCACCTCAAGCACAAAGTCCAGAAGCGGTTTCCAAACAGAAACAAAAGTACTTGTGTTTTTTTCTTTGATCAAAGCAGACAGTTTAGCCATCTCTGCTAAATCCTTCAACTTTTGAAGCCATTTGTCCATTGTGGGGATTGAAATGTCCTTCCATTTTTGTCCATAAAGTAGTCTTGTGCTGGTAAATGTTGAAATGGCTCCATTGCTTCCTCTGCCCTGGAGTGGAACTTGGGCTGGAAGTGGGGTGTCTGATGTGCAGGAGCAGATGGAGGGCTCTTCAGCTAGGAGAGCTGGGAGCCTGGAGCTGGGGGAGGGAATGGACACTTGAGGGGGGAGTGTAGAGAAGGTGGATACATTGGTGTATTGATGGTGGTGGTGGTGGTGGTGACAGGCATGGGATGTTTTGATGGGAGACAGAGTGAGGTCCATTTGTGGGGAAGGCCTTCCTTGTGTTTAGTACTGATGATGGGTTCTAGCCATCTGTGGTCCAGCCCAGACCTTGTCAGCAGACATCCAGAAGCCTGGATTTTTTTTACTGTTGCTGCTTAATACCAGATTGGTTAATAATAAAGCTCCCTTAGTTGTGATATTATCAGGGAGGAGAAGAATGCCTGGCATGTGTTACTGAAACCTGGCTGAGGCCTTAAGGGAGGAGGTCTTCCCCTTTCTGAAAAGTGTCCAGTTGGGTTCAGGGTATGGCACCAGCTGAGACCTCAAGACAGGGGAAGGGGGAAAGTACTTGTCATCAAGGAATTTCTGTTGACATTCGGAGTTGCTACCCCCCAAGTTGCCAGCTATTAGATTTTTTTTTTAAGATATGCTTGTGGGATCATTGGGATTGTTGTTACTGTGACAACCTCCCTGTTGCAGAGCAATCTCCCTACATAAATAATCTGTATATTTAATTACTATATGATATTATCTGCTTTAAAAAAAGAACTGATTAGGTTTGAACCAAGAAGGATCTGCATATCAGTGTGTCAACTCATATCCATAAAACTTTGGCAGTTTTAATCAATCAAGAAGAATCTAACTACCTGTATTCCATAACTGATAATAGCTAATAACCTTCTAGATATTTTTAAATTCTGAATTTAAATTTAGTGACAAATATGCAGCACTACAATGCTCAGTTAAACTTGGCATACCTATTGCCCAGAGTGCCAGTAATGTAAAGAAATGTCTTTAACCATGAAGCTTACAAAACTGCTTCTCTATCACATGTAATATGTGTTTGTCTTCTTGATTGATTGATTACATGCCATTAAGTCAGTGTCAGCTCTTAATTATCACAAAGTTTCTTGGTCACATTTTCTTTAACTGGGATCTTTAGTGCAGAGCCATTATCCATGCATTTGGGAAATGAGTTTTGTTCAACAAATCTATAGGGCATAAGAAGGTCACTTAGAACAGGGCTTTTCAACCTGTGGTGCGTACCACTTGTGGTACATTAACAAGTGGCAGGTGGTACACAGCCCTGCCTAGCCAAGTATAGTGGGGGAGGAAAAGAGCCAGCACAGGCAAGGACTTACTGTGAGAGAGTCTTCTGGAGCTGCAGAGTGGCTGGGGCAAGGCAAAGACCCCAGTTCACTTCTGGCTTACCCTCCCCCATGAGAAAGGAGGAAGGGGCAAAGACAGGAGAGGCTATAAAAGGAGGCAGTTTGGGCTGGGGAGGGAGAGAGAGAAAAAGCAGCAGCCTTGGGAGGAGGCAGAGTCAGGGAAAGGAGGAGGAGGAGGAGGAGGGTGGGAGAGAGGAGAGGAGATCAAGCAGGCCGGCCATGAGCCAATCTACAATTGCTGTGGCAGCCACCTGTGCTAGCAGCAGCAAACAGGCAAGGAATGCAGTGGGGGAGGGGTCACCCTCCAAGAGGAATGAAAAAAGGCAGCAATGGCTGGAGGTGAGGGAGGGAGATGGAGAGTGGAAGGATTCTTACGTTCTTTTGTGACTTTGAAGTTCTGGGATTTGTGCAATGTGGGCTTTGTGTTCTTAAGGAGTGTTTGGCAATTTCTATTTGGCTGATGGCTGGTGTCTCATGTTAGCTTCTATTGCTCTGCTATTGTTAGCTGTAAGTTTTGCTGCAAGGGATTTTGAAGTGTTTTTCTCCTGAATGGATTTTGCCTGTAATATTCCTTTACTTATGAATGGAGCCATTTGGGGAGGCTGCCTTAGCCGGCAGCCAGTACTTATTTCCATTTTTTTCGTTAAGTGCCAGCTGCATTCCTTAACTTTCCTTTCTAGCCAGTAGCTAATTCTTAAAGGGGAATGTGCCTTTTTAAGTTAGTTCACTCAGCAGTTTGTCTTTTCTGCCCCTGGAGGTTTTTTCCTGTTTGATGAATATATGAAAGAGAGAAAATATGGGGGGGTCAAATTTTTCCTTCAGAAGAGGGGCATGAGAAAGAGAGAGGCAGGGAAGGAAGGAGGGAGGGAGGGAAATCCCGCCTTAGCCCTTGGCCACCAGCTGCCCTGCCATTGATTTTGCTTGTCAAAAGGTTGCAAAAGGGGATCACATGACCCTGGGACACTGTGACCATCATAAATATGAATCAGTTGCCAAGCATCCAAATATAAATCACATGACCCTGCTGCAATGGTCATAACTGTGAAAAATGGTCATAAATCATTTCAGTGCAATTACAACTTTGAACTTTCTTTTTTTTGGTCATCAAGTTTTTGACACCTTGCTAGGTGGTACTCAAATATTGCCATATCCTAAAAATGGTACAGTCGGTGAAAAGGTTGAAAAGCCCTGACTTAGAAGACAATCAATGTTTTTAATGTGCTATTAATAACTTTTCAATGTCCCCATATTCTGTCATCATGTTTTAGTTTTAGTTTTCTGGTCTTCCCATTCCAAGGCCTTTCAAAACATTCATCACAAATGGAAAATATTTAGCAGTGCTAACAGGAAGGCTTGGCACAGAATTGAGGGAGTTATCACTAACTTAAATCAGCCTCTTAAAAGCAAGTTCAGCTAGTTTCTGTAGTCAGGTAGCCATAGCAATTAGCAAACTTTTTAAAATATCTATAGTTACTTCCTTGTTAATGAGCAGATCTACTTTGCCTCAGTTCCCATTTGCTGCGAATCAGAAAAAAATGTATTTTGTTTGCTCTTCTTTAGAGCAACTCCTTATAGGCTTACCCGTCTCTAAAGCTCCAGTATCTGTGCCATCTCTGGAAGGAACATTTCCTGGATACCAAATAAGTCGGGTGCTGTGTGTAGTTTCATATAACAGCTACTATAAATAGTTATGGTATTCTTTTTAAATATTTTTTTGTAGATCATTCAAACAGCTGTATCTCGGGGGGGGGGGAGAATGCTGTTCCAGAGAACAGGAACCAGTTCAGAGAAGGTACACTTCCTCAGCCGCATAAGAGGACAATGTTTAATAGAAGAAACCAGGAGCATACCCATTCTGCTAGAACATACCGGATAGGCAGAAACAGTTGGAGATAGATGATTCTTCAGTTATCCAGATCCTATGCCATAAATGGCTTTATAATTAATAACCAATACCTTGAATTGCACCCAGAAGTCAACTGGCAACAAATGCAACATGTTTAGTACTGGTGACACATCAGCATACTGAAAGGCTGATATTACTGCTTGTGCTGCTGCAATTTGTACTAGTAGCTTCCAGGCTCAGCTCCATATAGAACACATTGCAATAATTCAGATAATGGAAACCCCAAGTTCTCCTTAGACCCATCCTACTAACTCCCCACCTCAATGTCCCTTCTTTTAGTACTGTTCTTCTATTAAAATATAAATTGGGTAGATGTCTTCTATTACCACACTTTGAGTAATTCTTCTATTACTTAATCATTATAGGCCAGACATGTCAAACTGTCACGTGACATTGCGCAACGTATCGGAACTTTTTTGCCATTGCCGGCAATGGGGTGGGTGCAGCTCCAGTATGATAAAACCAGCCCGTGGGCCGGCAGTTTGACACCCTTGTTATAGGCTATTAAAGCATAGTTTAGGCAGATGAGAGAACTGAACATTTCTCTCATCTGTACTATTATTCCTGTCATTAAGAAACCCCACCAATGAAATTATCCTCCTGTCCCATACAAAAATATCTGGGAAGAAGATTTTGAGAGGGGAAAATGTGTTTCCATGTCATCTCTCTGCTTTATATGAATTCTACATTGAGTTGAATTAATATATGTGCTGTATCCTTTAAAGCCAAGTTGAGCATGATGTTAAATTTCCACATACATGTACAGTATATAAATAATGTAGATGCATTTTGGGGTATTTAATACAAATAATCTGGTAGGGAAAAGTGTGGCTATTATAAACCCATCAGAAGCAGGGGAGAAATTTAAACTTTCCTTCCTGCTGCTATCCAGAATAAATTGTGTCATCTGTTGGGCTTCTTATCTGTAATCAGGAACTAATGCTTCCCATGGGAGCAGAAGCTCTTTGCTTTTAGCTTGGCTCTTATGCAATGGCAGCTTCCCCAACATAAGTTTCTACAGATGCTTAGGGATACAGCTCAAAGTTCACCACCCAGAATGTCCCCTGGTCATGTTGGGATTTTGCCTTCTACATTTTGCAATCCTGATTCTTTTGGGGGAAAGCAGGTTGCAGAAGTCTGCTCTCCAACATCAAAATAAACAGATTCAATTGCAAATTACAGATATGCCTCCTATTACAGGAATAGACCTTCTTATTTTTCAATAGAGATTCCAGTCACCATATGAGCACACACTGCTCTCTTAAGCGTGATAGAAAAATTTGATGTAGTTGCTGCAGTAGTGATTATGTCCTTTCATAATTTGCCTCTTCTGTTTATCTTAGGGCCCAAGTGAGTTTCCCCTAAAGAGCTTCTCATTTGTTAAATTAGAAAAAGCATCAGTGTCTGAAACTTCCATTTCCATTATAAAAACATCAGTTAACTTGCTGTAGCATCTTAAAGAAAATAATTTGAAAACCAAAAATTGAAGGCATTATAAATGTATTTGTACATGTCTGAGTTTTTTTCTGAGTTTTCCTGTCCCTGGGTGGGGGGTGGGGAGGGGAGGCTATTTTCTTTGATTCCCTTCAAGACCTTTTGAATATATTTATCAATATGGTCCTATAGAAAATATTTACATAAGTTTAGTCTTTACAGTGTAAAATGAGAGCAATATAATCTATTTATATATGTATGTATTGTTTTCTTCCTAGGTTCACAAATTAATGGCAATTATAGAAAGTACAATTCAGTAATTGACCTGAGGACAAAGGCATTTGGGGAGGATTATTTGGATGATGATTGCATTCCACCACCACCTTCAATTCCTCCTCCTTCACCACCACCACTTTCAGTTGACTTACCACCAGTTTTATCTTCTGTGGTAGTTCCACCTCCACCTTCTATGGTAGCTCCACCTCCACCACCAATGACTCCCCCACCTCCACCACCAATGACTCCTCCACCTCCACCTCCATCAGCATTGCCAGCTCCATGGCTTTCATCAATGGCTGCACCTTCATTTCCATATTCCGATGTCTGTTCTCCCAGTACTCCAACCCCACCAGACTTCATTCCTCCTCCTCCCCCTCCTCCTCCTCCTCCTGATTTTATGGATTCTGCAATTTCTTCTATTCCTCCAATTTCACTACCAGTTCATACACAACTCTTCTCAAATGGTGTGTCCAAATGGAAATCAGAGACTGTTCTAAATATTCATAAACCTTCTCTCAATTCTCCAGCAACACCTATTCACAAGGAGTTACCACAGTTACCACAGTCCAGCCCAGAGCCTCATCTCACTTTTCCCAAATCATTAAAAGTACCCCCTCCTACTCCCATGAGAATATCATCTATTTTCTCAGGAGAAAAAGACTCCAGCCCCAAAGAACATTTTCCTAGAATGACATCTGACAGTCACAGTCCTCTGTTACCTACTGTACAATGTGCTACCATAGATCACTCAGAGGCAGAAGCTAGAGCCAAAACCAATATGGGAAATCATTCTGCTTTGGTCACAGAATCTAAAACATCAGATTCCAAAATCTGCCCACTGAAGAAAAAACAGAATTTATCCTGGTCCACTGAAGAAAGAACAGAATTTTCATCTCCAGGTTATGCATCGTCTGATGATGATATCTGGAACGAACGTTGCAATTTAGATAAGTTGAAGAATGAACTGTCAACCCTGCTGTCCTCAACCTGCAGAAAGGAAGACCGACCAACTGAAAAAATTACATTTTCCAAATCTAAAGGTACAGATATTGATAGCAACAATGTTACTACAGATGAATTAAAACTAGTTAAGCATAATGTGAAAAAAACACACTTACCACAAAGAGCAGAGAATGAAAAGAAAGAAAAGAAATGTGCCAATAATTCTCCAACCAAATCTTTCACCAAAGATGCTTTCTCAACTGCAGACAAATTTCCGACCACTCAAGGAAATTGTGCTATGAAACTGAAAGAGGAGTTGGAAGCTTTATTGTCTCCAGTCAAGGAAGGAGGCCCACCTTTTGCAATTGCAAACCTGAGACATAATCCAGAAACAAGGAAACAAGTTACTCTTCAGTTTTCTGGCAATAAGGTCAATAATGGTGAGTTGAAATTTCCAACAACAAAATTGGAAGGTACAGAAAAAGAATCAATGATGCCTAGTCCTTCTGTCCACACATGCAAGCCACCAGTTTCATCTTTAAAATCCCAAAGTGAACATTTGGCTCCAGCTACATCTTCCTCTTCTAATTCTGAGACTACATTACCCACACAAACTGCTTCTCCCAGCAAGGATCTCTCTCTGAAATATAAGACTCATAGGTCGAAATCGGACTCTGTTGACAGCCTTGTCTTTGCAACTTCTTCCCAAGCTATACGTGATGGACTCAGCAGTTCATGTATTAATGAAAATCAAAGAGATTTTACTGGGAACATGCCCTCAACAACAGCCAAGCTATCTAGGAATGCAGAGCCACTGAGCAGTGATGTTCTGTTTCATCCTGTTACAGGAGAAAAAGTAGAAAAGGGGTCTCCAATGGCTCTTCTTCTGGCTGCACAACTGCGGGCCAATAGAGGCAAGTGTTCTGCTTCTGCCTCTCAAAATAATAGTTCTTTATTGGAGAAACCTCAGCTCAAGTTGAACAATAGTAGCCAATCAGAGAATGGGTTATCTACCATTTATTATAGCAATTCAAAGCCCAATACTATTAAGGTTGTCCCAAAGTCCCCACACAAGGACTTATTGGCAGAATCTGAAAGTAAGCAGCGTAATGAATCAAGTGCATCCAACAACAATATCAGGAGTTTGTCAGGACAAAGTGAAAATATGCCACAAATATCCTCCAATGTTACCGAACAATGCAGGAGTACACTGAAATTTAGAGAGACAAACGACTCTCAAAGTCTTTCATCTAATAAGTGTGATTCTTCTATTTTGCTTCAAAACTCAAACTCCAGTCATTTGAAGCAGCAAGATCCACTGAACAGATCTGAAATTCCTTTTCATTTTTTTCCTCCACCCCAAAACCATACAGTTAAAAATGATGAGGTGGAAGAAGGATTCAATTATGAAATAATTCCTCCACCACCAGAGTTCAGCAATGATACCTCTGAAATCCCAAAGTTTTCTTCAGATACTCAGATCTCAGATATGCAACTTAACTTCAACAACTCAAGCTATAACTATGGCAACAGTTATTCTCTGACATCAGCAGTCCAAAGGCCAAGTGACTATAGTCACCATTATCCAGGTGACAGCTATACCTCCAATTACCTTAGTAGCTGTTCCAATAGCCGCCCCCTAATTAAAAAACGCCTTTATCTATCAGAGACTGATGACTTATATAGTAGGACAGCTATGTCTGCCCGCAATATGAGCATACCTAACTCCTATGGCTACAACTCTTCAGCTGTGGAAGGGATTCATCGAGCAAATTATTCTCACAGAAATATTCCCAATAGTACACAGGGCCGAAGGGTATCCTTGGAAATACCTGGAAAAATTATAACTTACAATACTTCTGTCAATGATGTCCAGTATAAAAGCCAAAATGGAGACTATTCCACTAATGCAATCGCCTCTGGCAGGTATGTTTCATTTGTCATAAATATAGGAGTTGAAATGTGAGTAAGGGACTGCATGGAAATATTTTGGCCAGAAGTCAGGTTGACATTCTGCAATTTCTTTTGTCCAGTATAACATAAGTGATATGTTCCTCCCCCCCACACACACACACTTTTTAGAGTTACAGTGCTCTAGGTAGAGTATTCTCCATTTAAAATCAAGTTATTATTCAGTCAGGTGACCAGATGGCTACCGCTTCAGCCAAATGTCTGCTTCTTCCACACTTATTCCTACAGCTAAGATCACTGTCAAAATCACCAAGATCTCAGTTGAGAGGGAAATACTGTATTGCTAGTGGACAGCTGTTTGACCTGCGAGCTGTTCATTTCAAATTATATTTAGAGAGAAGACATGGGTACTAAGAAACTTATGTAATTCAACAGAATTATTGTCTCCAGGTAAACTAACATTTTATTTATTTTTGAAACAGCAGTAAAAATATTCAAACCATCCACATTATTATTTATACTGGTAAGATAACTCTATTAGCATTTAGCTGAGAAAGCCATTATGCCAAAAATATCTGTATTAAATATTTCATATTCACTGTTTGTGTTTCTGATAATCAAAGGCTATCTCACTAACAAAATCTCAGATATTGATTTGAAAAGTTTATTTTTTTTCTTGTACTTAGAATGAAATATATCACTTAATTGAATCACTGGTCTTAATTTATTGCTAAGAATTTCTACTGGACTAATGATATTTTTTTATATTTCTTCTGTTTAGGTCTTGCCACGTTAGTCCACAATATGGAACTCTAAATACATTTACTGTTAGGCCTGGAACAAGACAACCCATTTCTTACTCCTACCAAGGCCTTCATTAAGACCTTTCTGTCAGAAGCTCTGCATCTGCACACAGCTTGGGCCAAGATTGTTATTACTCAATCTGGACCTCATTCTTTTTTCTGTATTATAACTCATCTTTGTATAGCTCTGTAGGGCCTGTATCTTTTTGTAAACATTAGTTTTAAGTTATTCAGACAGTGTTATAAATGAGTCTTATGAAGCTCTCTTGCTAACAAGCTTATTTTGCATTATGTAAGAGTAGCTATGTATGTGTCTTCATTCTAGGGCACATTTGACTAATAGCTGTCTGCTTTGAATAGAAGAATATAGAGTAAATTTTACCTTACTAGCACCATTTTTATGAACATGCATTGGTCATTCAGGAAAAGCAAGCAAAGAAGGAAGGCTGCAACAGAAAGGCAAAGCAGAGAATCCAAGATCCAAGATGAAGAAAGCAGTTCAACAACCCATTTATGGCTACTCTAGATCAGCCATGCATGGCCTAGAAAGCTGGCTGTTAGCTAGAAGAAAATGACACATTTATGGAAAAGGAAAGGAAGCGTTCAGATGAAAAAAGGATGAGCAAGAGAGAAGGATTAGAAGTTTGTGATACTTGTAATTTCAATAGTGCTACCACCAAAGAAAATTGACAGGAGCTTTTCTTAGCAGGGCATCTCTAACTTTTTGTTTACCATATCATTGTTAGAATCCATAACAGAAAAAAAAAATATAAGAAACCCAGGGGCCCCTTGTCAAATATTCTTATATCTTGCAAAATATTTGAGACTGAACTTCTTCAAAATTATCTTTTTTTAGACAATCATTTAGGTTTTCAATCTACAACTACGGATAAAAATGATAGCCATTCTAAAGACACAAATATAATTCTTGCAGTCCCCTTTAAAAACACACAGCTGAATTTAATTTGGGAAGCATTTTTAGTTAAAAACTGTATAAGATTTAAATGAACCAAACAACATATCTCTACAAGGCTAACCTGGCAATTCGTCACCATTGTTGCATTGTTATAGTTTTCAAGAATGCAATCATTCTGTCTACAGCTTTGTTTTTCTTGTGGTTTCTTATTTTGGTTTAGGAGTTAAAAAACATTTAATGGATATGAAAGGTGTTTAATAGAACAGATGCTGGCATCTATACAAATTAACCCCAATTACATCTCTGTACTTGAAGGAAAAGCAGCGCATGCTTAAAGGTCACCTCTGAAAATGTCAACTATATCTGTTTGGAGGTAAATCTTATTCAATGGGATTTACTTTTAAATGCCTAGAGGAAAACAGCTCTAATCCATTTTGGCTTGTACTGGTTATACATGATAGTTACAGGTAGTCTTTGAATTACAACCATTTGTTTAGCAATTATTCAAAATTATAGCACTGAAAAAGTGATTTACGAATGGTCCTCACACTTATGACTGTTGCAGCATCCCTGTGGTCATGCAATCAAAATTCATATGCTTGACCTCTGGCATGCATTTGCAATGTTTGCAGGTCATGTGATTGACATTTGCAACCTCCCCAGCTGGCTTCTGACAAGCAAATCAATGGGGAAAGCCGATTTGCTTAATGGTCACATGGTTCAACTTAACAACTTCAATAATTCACTTAACAACCATGGCAAAAAGGTCATAAAATTTGGCACAGCTCACTTAACAGCCACTTTGCTTAACCATAGAAATACTGGTTCCAGTTGTGGTTTCAATTAATGGATTACCTGTAATCCAATAGTCTATGGATTTAGTTCTAGTTTTTAGAACTGTGAGGGAAAATGATTGCCTCAATTTATTTCTGTAGATTTTGCAAAGAAGCAAGAATATAGCCATTATTTTTATATACCCAATAGATAACTTACCTTAAATTATAAAGCATGTATGTTCATGTTGATTTTGTCTGGCAGCAGATTCATTTTTAGATAAATATTTTGGCAGAATTATAGTGTAGTTCAAGTTCAGTTTAAGTCACTTATTTAGGGAGATGGTTATCTGTCCCCTAGGGATGCTTCCCATGTAAAACTATCAAATGTTTCCAAACATTTAAGTAAAAAATGGTTTAAACAGGTGTAGTTTGCAAGCCATCTTCTATATTGTGTTTATTCACTCTATTTACACATAATTTCTTGCACGAATATATGCCTGTGAACCTAGAGTAAAGCCACCTCTATCAGTAGGCAGAGTGAATCTATTTTAAACAGAAGATGGGTGGGATGAAAGAAAGTAAATTGTTAGTTATTTATGGGGGGGGGGTCCTTTGTTTTTTCTGTTCTGTATTTTTACTGCCAGGATGGAAAGATTACTTCTGTGATTTTTCTGCCTCATGTGTCAGAGGACCTACCCTGCCATGATTAAGTATCCATTTGTTGCTCTGCTTCAGGCAAGGAACAACTTGGACTAGCTCTGATTTTAACCTTTGATACTAAGATAAACTGATTTTTTAAAAAATGTACTAACCTTCTTGTCTATAAGATCTATTCTAGGAGGCTCCTCACCTGCAGTAGAAGCAGGAGTCTGCTTGCATGTCCAATAGTGAGAGATTCAGTTTAGGAACCTCCCCATGTGTGCATTATGTTTCAAAATGGAGACATTGGATATTTTCAACATGCAATTAATATAGCATTTTCAATAATAAAAGCATAAATATTACATAAAATTGTCTTAGTTTTTACTTATATTGATCACTCATATGATTAGCTTTGACCATACTCTGGTTTCAAAGAAATAATAATTTTGATTGATTATAGTTCATTTTGATAGGAGACATGAAAGCCATTTAGAAAAACAATAAACTTTGTATTCTCAGCATCTATTCAAAGTTGTGAAACTCATTTCAGACTGCATGTTTGTAAAGAATCATTGAGATATGCCACAACATCAGCCACTCCAACTGCTAAACATTGTTTATTTTAAAGCCTATCATTATTTCTGGTCTTCTCAAATGCTTTTTTACAGCCATCTGGTCTTCTCAAATGCTTTCTGCATGATCTTTTATATGCTGGCGAGTCTGGAGTCAAAGAGTGGTCATTCAGTCATTAATTGTTCATTCTAACCTAGTTAATATCTAACTGTACAGAATGTCAGTTAAAGATCCTTCTGTCTCAAATTGGTTATCTGCTAAGTGTACTGATTGAAGGCTTCCAATGCTTAATTAACTAACAAACAGCCTTTCTCCTTTCCTTTCTAGAAGAAGCAGAAGTTTCTAATTTTTCTTGCTCCACAATAAAAGCAGTCTGTGTATTTGTCCTCATGAATTTGTATAAATATATCTGCTTGTTTTTGTCTGGTTTTGTTTTGCTTTATTTTAAATGATTTAAAGTATCCTATGAGGTGGTTTGAAGACAAATTCAAATTCTAATACAATAATATTGCTGTAATTTTTAAATACATTTTATTGCTTTTAAAATAATGACAGAAAAAGAAAAAAGCAAATAAAGCACAAAAAATACATTATCAAAAATGCACAAGTGCTTATAAAATAAGGGGGAAAATACAACAGAAAAAATAATGTACAGAGTATATGTTATTAGAACACTAAAGTTACAATTCTATATAGAATTATCAAATGCAAACATGAAGTGTGCATGTCTATATGATCGTTTTTCAAACTATTGTACTTTGTATAGATTGCTCCCATATTTCCTTACATGTATCCATACAAGAGGCACAGTGGCTCAGTGGCTTAAAAGACACTGGAGAAGGTCTAAACTCCTGTGGTTTGAGTCCCACCACCGCACAATAGAATGAGCTCCCATCACTAGCCCCAGTTCCTGCCACCTAGCAGTCTGAAAGCATGTAAATGCAAGTAGATAAATAGGTACCACTTTGGTAGGAAGGTAATGTATTCCTTGTTTCATCAAAATCTTTGTGCTGTGGCATGATGTCAGGCTGGCCACATGACCACAGAAACATCTTCTGACAGCACTGGCTCAATGGCTTAAAGAAATGCAAATGAGCGCCACCCCCTAAAGTCAGCTACGACTAGCAAAGTAAAAACCCCAGGGCCTCCTTTACCACTTTTTATCCACACAAAGTCTGCACTTATGGCAATCGACTCACAGATGGTGTGAACTGGTCTTCAATCCATTGAGTAAGTGGAGCCTTACGTTCATCTTACCATATTGCAATATGAGTCTTTTAGCTATAATGACACAGATTATCCACTTATGTCGTCCAATTCCATGTACAGGTATGCTATTCAAGAGAACATTATCTTCTGAAAATTTTAGCTTTTGTCACATAGTCACATTTATATAGTCCACTTTCTCTCAAAACTTGGTAAGTATAGATCATTGTAAAAAACTGTGTTTTAGATAAGCATTGTCCTTATTACATCTTCAACAAAATGCTATTCTAGCATTTTTCTTTTTCTATATAAATATAATGGAGTCCAATAAATTCTAAATATTTTTTTGTTATATAAGTTGTAGGTTAAAGTCAATTGGCAGTTTAGATATAGAAGTTAATACGCTCTCCCATTGTCCAGGGAATGCAGAAACTTCTAATTCTTTATTCCACTCATCTCTTAAAATCTGCATGTCAAAGTGATTTATTGATAACAAACTAAAAAAACTAATACATCAATTTTAGTTTTAGAAATTTAACTAGTTGTTCTAGTATCCCGGATGTCTTAGAATCTGAAAATGCTGCTGGTCCAAACAATGTTGTTAGCAGAAGTTGTACTGTAAATATTGCCAATATCTGATAGATATTTGTCTATTATTAGAACTTTTGTTTAATTTCATCCTAATGATCTATCAATTAATCAAGTCAATATTGCTGCTTTCATTCAATTTTTTTCATATCAGCATCTTTTCCCCAATTTTTAATTTCTCCATAAAGTCAATTTTACATAGAAAAAATAAAATTTTTACTCCATTCCATAACTTTCTGATATACCGTATTTCCAGACATATTAGAGCTTGATTGTATTTAGATCCTAACACTGTCCATGCAGTCAAAGGTGTTATATGTGTGTACTCCAAAGTTGTTGAAATATTAACACCAATTGTTGGCTTTCAGTTTTGAATATTTGACAATAGTTAAGCTTGATTATAGAGTTCCAGATTTGGGAAACCAAATCCTCTTATTAATTGATAACTGCATTTTCTGTAAAGATATTCTCAGAATTGAAGAACCAAATCAACATTTTCTAATCAAAGAGTTTATTTTCTGAAGTGTTTTCCAGATGTTTGAACAGGAATTCCTCTCAGAATAATAATTAATCTGGAAATAATATTAATTTGTGAGCATTCACATTTCCCAAAGAATGAGGTTTAATGACTCCCATCTATCCATGTCTGAAGAAACCTCTTTATGTATTTATTTACATTACATTACAAATACAGAACTGATATTCCTTGAATAGATGGGTAACCAAATTTCCACCTATTGGAATCAACTCCAATTTGAATCAGTTAATAGAATATCCTGGTATTTTATTAAAGGTATCTATCATTTGCATCAACAGTGGAATAGCAGCATGAGATTTAGAAATAAATAGAAGAATACTATCTGCAAATAAACCACAATGATGCACCACTCTGTAAATTTCCCTATGTTGTCTAATAACTAAAGCCAAGTATTCCATATAAACAACAAAAAACAAGGGAGAAAGTGGGTTTGGGGGGCTGGTTCCTCTAAAAAATAGGAAAGTAGCAGAAAATATATACCAATTTCAAAGGAAGTGCAAATCAATTTAATACAGCAAACTTATACTGTTTATATATTTTGTCAAAAGCTTTTAGCAGATTGCTCTTCATTTTTATTCACATCACATACGCACGACCAAGCTTTAGGGTTTTCAAGGAAATGCTCCATTTTTAATTAGTCTTGCCTCCCTTGTTGTCTTTCCTATCAATACTAAAGGAATCATCTGAAATGGAGAGGCATAGCGGATGGAGCAACAGGGGCAGGGAATCTTGCTTTACCACTTTTATTGAGTCATGCCATAAGCAGAATACATTTTCCAAGCTACCTGTGCAACTCCTTTCAGCCAGCCCTAACCAGACTCGCTTTTGAAATAGCAAATACAATTAATCTCCTGTGCAATCAAAGCAAAACTTTGAGAAGCTTGAAACAAGCCAATTATCTTTGATCCCATAAAAACAGTAATCTTCTGCATACAGCTCATACTTTTGCAATGCTTCTTTTAAAATGGTGGCAAAAGCATCAGAAACACAAGACAAGTAATAAAAAGGCAGAATACAATCAAATCTACTGAAACAGCTACTTCGAGAAGTCTTCAAGCTCTGATCTGAGTCTCTATACATTGATCTTTGTTAGATGCCATAGTTTTTTGAAAAATGTTTTTTTAAACCTCTGCAAAGAAAGTTAGTCTTCTGTTTGGCATAGTCTGCATTTTTGGGGCTGTAGTCCCCACAATTTCCTTACGTTGGCTGCGCAAGCTGATGCATTTGAAGTCCTAAATATATTTTGTCTTTCCTTTTTTGATTCTTGGAAATTACTACATCTCATATGAAATTGCAGAAGTCCTCTGGATCTTTTTCTTCTTTGGTCCTAAATATATTAAACTTGTTGACTTCAGAAACAAGTTTTAAGAGTTTTGTTCACAGAATTTCCCACACCCAAGTTTCTTATTGATAGGGGATTCTGGAGGGAACTATTGTAGGATGCATCCAGGTTGCTAGAATTTATCAAACACAAAGATAAATCCAAATCTACTAACCTATAGCCATGCCAAGTGTTTAGCTCACACACTGCACTAAATTATAATTTGATTTGTTTGATGTGAACACAATTCAACCACTGTGGTTTATAGATCATGGTATAGAGCTTAATTCATCATGTAAACACAGACATGTTTTATTTATTTAACAACAAATAATTAAAAAATCCTTACTGTAGTACATATGGGAATTGTCTCCATGACATAGAACTGTTTCTGTGAACAGGGAAAGTTAACAGAAGAAAGACTGGCTCACACAAATGTAGCTTGCCAGGATTTAGTTTACCACCTGTGTGAATCCAGGCACAGTGCATTTATGGATCCTTCAAACAGGCATGGAGCCCATGGTGATGGAGAACTTAATTACATAGATATTTATTGAATGACAAATTCCTGCCAATGTATAGTCCTGGAAAGAAATACCTCATGTCATATTGACTTTTCCCTCTAGAATACCCTTTATCCTCTAGATACAAGAAATATAAGAAGCTAAAAGTTAGCTATCCTTGGTCGATTAATGCAGGAAGCTTAGCTAACAACACAAAAACAATATATACTTAGAGGAAAGTGACCATGTAATTTGGGAGATATTGATTTTAAGGAGACCTTGAGGTGAGGCCACTTGGATACTTTGAACTTCAAGAAAAACAGATTTCTGGAGCAGGACATTAGGATTCTATACCATGAGAATAATGGGAAATAAAGCTCAAAAGGAGTAAAAAGGAAGTCTCCTATGAGTTGAGAAAAAACAGAATTATCTTATTAGGCAAACAAGATGGCAAATTTCTTGCTTGTAAATTATATGGGCACAAGAATTTTTAATTGCAATTGAACAGGAGTCAGTTTATGATATGATTCATGAACAGTACATATGATTTTAGGCTGTATCAATATGATCTCCAAAACCATGGGAAATAATGATTTCCCTCTGCATAATATTGGCCAGAATGAAATATTTAAAAACATTAAAAACAAATATTTTATGTATTTAAACATATAAATATTTTCCATTTCTTGAAGAATCAACAGAAGACCTCAAGAGATGTCACAATGAAGACAGCTTTCACCTATTCTCTTATTATACCAGGATGCATGTTATGGAATAATGATCTTAAGATCTTTTTCCAGGTTCAGATGAGACTGTGAAAAAGACAGTTACTTTACTTAGCTGCATTCACAAGGTCCGTAGTTCCTCTTTGAAATAAAGAATGAATATCCCTGACATAGAGGCCAAATTGCAGTAAAGTACTATATTCAGCAAAGCTAAATAGTAACAATCTGCCTCCTTGTGGTACAACAGTAGAAATACCCACTGCTAGTAATGGAGAAAAGCTTCAATTATTGTCTAAGGATGTAGACATATTTGTGTAGCAGAATGAATATTACCACCCTACCAAACATTTTTGGTGTTTTGTTCTTTGATCTTATATTTCATGGGAAAAAGTAGCATTTGGATCTTGATCATTTGCAATGTAAACTTAATCACATGGACTGTGGTTAAGTGATAAAATTTATCAATACAATTTGAAAAGTAATAGAAAGACAAGATTCAAATAAATTCAAAACAAGCTAAACAAAAATCACAAATTTAAAAATCAAGAAGTTTATTTTAAAAACTGCCTTCCATTTGAGTGTATGGTTGTTATGCATTTCAGATTTCACAAGTCATGGAATTAGTACCCAATAGTTAAGAACATCAAATAACTATGTTTCTCGACCTTCTCCAGAAGTTCTCCTAGCATCTCATTACAAAACCATAATGTGCTATATCAATATGCCTATAATTTTTATTCCATTATGAAATTTGGGCTTTCATATAATGAATAAAATATGCTGTATTTATAAAAGCCTACATGTTTGGAAATCAATGGTGGACAACCCCAACAGCTAACAACACATTTACACCATACTTGCCTGTTTCTATGCCTTTCCCAAAAATGTGCAAGCTCATACTTAAGACAGGAGTTTAAAAGATTTCAGACTTGATTTATACCCAAGGAATCCTGGAATGTTCTATAACTTCAGAATAGCCAATTCCCCTTTCCATTCATATACACATCTATCTGGCTCTGTTATATAATCTAAATTAAAGCAATCAGATTCAAAGTATCTCCCTCCTCCATCCATGAATTTCCAAATGCTGAACCAAAACAGAAATCATAATGTAAACATATTCAAAGTCTTCTTGCCAAATAGCAAAGTGGAACAGTATCTACAGCAGTTTTCTCTAACCTGATGCCCTGTAATTCCCAGAATTCTTAGCTAGCATATCCTAGAACTATAGTAAGAGCAATCCCAATGTATTTGGAGAAAGCCCATTTGGGAAGGCTTATCTAATGAGGATTGTTAAGACAACTTAAAGGCAAACTGCACTTTACTTCAAGATAAATAGAACTTACAAGAATACCATTTTTGTTATATTACTTATCAAAAAGCTGGGGGTGGTGGTGGAGTAGAATGAAATATTAAGTATGTGCCGGAAAAAACTATGGAAGTTCTAAATACAGTGGCTTTCTGAAGTGGCCTCTCTTTAGGGAAGGATGTAGACTTTAAAAAGGAAACTTGGAAGGCTGGGTCAGGTCCAACAAAATATGCTATGCAGAACTCTTTTTTTTTTTCCAACCAACTTTTTTTCCAACTCATCTCTGCCCTTTTTTAAACAGCACCTACTGAAGTTAAGACAAAAATTATTCTGCATGCATCTTGCTATTGTTACAGGTGAGGGTTTTGTCTGCAATGTATGCTAGACAACGGTGGAAAGAATTGCTGTTCAAGAAACATAAATCCAAGAAAACTATTGAATTCTATTATACAGTTGAATGTATAAGAATTGTAGCAGGAAATTGGAAGGTTTTTTTGCTTCACACTAGGAAGATTCCCCAATTAAAATATGCCAAATTGAAGCAGTCTCACAATTGATGTATATACCGTAAATGCCGGCGTACAAGGCGACCCGGCGTATAAGACGACCCCCGTCTTTATAGCCGGGCCGCATTCCTAGAACGTCGTCTTATACACCGGAAACTACCAGTATTTCCGGCGTATAAGACGACCCCCCGTCTTTGGCGCCGATTTTAGCACTCGCGGAAGTCGCCTTATATGCCGGCATTTACGGTACTATGCGAACTGAGTATATTAAATTATAAATTCAGTCAAAATCTGGAAGGCAAGTCCAGAAAGCATTGTAAGATTTATTTCACAGTAAAAAAAAATACACACAAAAACCAAAATGCATCTGCAACACTCTCGAGGTTGTATAAAGTATTGCCCACAAAAATTAAATGAAACCAATTCTTTTAGGATTTGTATTATTGTCCAAATCACTATAAAACTTCCGTTTGTTGCAGAATTTGACTGGCTGTAATAAGCAGCTGGAAGGCAACTCCTGTGAAATTGTTATAGGACCATTCTTTGCTGCATGGAACATTATTTAGCCCCATTGTTTCTCCCCACAAAAAGAGCTATTCCAGAGGAAAGGACCAAGGAAGTACAAACTATGCAGTGATATCATTTTTCCCAGAACGGTGGTTATTCTGCATTGGGATTGTGTGATGTAGAACTTGATGGTCCCATCCAACTGTTGTCAATGAGTTTTTATTCAAGGGAGACCATGATAAACCTGTTACAAAATCTCGATGAGACCGATTCCTAAAACTGGGAAAGATAGGAAACATTTCTACTGTTAGTTTAGAAATCCACAGATGAGTTCATAAAGAAATAATTATTAATACCAGACTACCTTCAAGTTACTAAGAATGGGAAACCAGGAGAAAGATATGAATTGCTAAAATGAGGAAGAACTAATCTTTGTAAGCACTCCACATGGAGTATCTGTAAACACTGACTATTCCTTCAAAAATAAGGCAATGAGCAAAAACTACTTTTGCTACACGGGCCATTCTTCATGTAGCAAAAGATAGGATGACATCATTATTTGCTTCATATGCAGGAGCGACAACCAATGAAAGGGCTTCTGCAGGGAAACAAGGCTCCTCCTCACTAAAGTCCCACCCATTTCCCCCCAAATATTCAGCCACTAGACAGGCATCAATCCAGCTTTCAGTCTGCATTTAATTTCCCAATTCTAGATTAAGTTTTATTAGTGAAAACTAAAGGAATGTGCTCTTGATTTATTTAAATATTTATAGCCCACATATCATCTATTGGAATCTTCAGATGGTGGAGTACTAACATTAAAGATAATGTTGGTGTTCCACCATCTGAAGATCATGGTGAATAAATATTTTAAATAATATTCCAGAGAAGGGAATCCTCAAATATTTCTGAAGCATCAGTGTAAGCACCAGATTCTAATTTTCGCTTCTTCTTGTCTAGAACAGAGATGGTAACTAATCTGAACAGAGTCTACAGTCATATTACCTCCCTGAAATGCAGCCTCCAATTCCACGCTGTATAGAATTCTTCATTTTACTGTATTATCCTATATGCAAGCTGCTTTCATTGTGAAAGGATGAGTCTGGATAAATAGACCTAGCTCTGTTCTACTCTTGCATGGATCCATTAACCTAGTAGACCAAGTATGAGGCTCAAGTGATTTGCCTTCGGCTACAGGATCCACCAGGATAAAAATGGGCATCCTTTATTAAGTTTGGTTCTGATCATCACTTTAACCAGAGGTGGCAGTTTGAATATGAACTGCAGTGCACAATTATTTTTATATAAATACATGCAACCTTTAACCAAGATGGCAATTAAATCACTGAGAGCCTAAATGATTATATGACACAAAAACTCAGAATTGCAAGAGACAAGTGGATTGAACTGTGTTGTAACTCACACTTCTGAAAAACTGGAGTCAAGGACAACAACAGAACAATCTTCACTGATAGAACCCAGCAGAGGTGAACTAGAGGTAGAAAAAACATCAATTAGCACATATCATCTTTTTTTTGTTTAAATGTCACAAACAAATATGAGAGATTATTAGTGACATAAATAAAAAACCCGTATCATAGCAAAGAAAACCTTATAATCTGTATATTGAAACTGGGGAAGAAACAGAAATAATTATCAGCTCAGTGAGCAGACAGATGGATTAAGGTATAAAGCAAACAATGAAATCCAAGAGGAGAAGTATAAAAGAGATTGCGTGAAATGAAAAAAAAATACACTATATATTTAGTGAGTTCCAGAGAAAAAGAACTGATTAGCTTTACACACAAGAATCCTTTTTGTAACAACACAAGATGAACAAAAATAAAGTAGCCTTTGTAGTTTAAAACTGAAAATAAAAGATTAACAATGTTAGTAAAAACCAAATATGATTAGGTAAAATCAGAATTGTACTTTAATTTTAGCCAAGGCTTCCAATTAAGTCCTTTTTTTTGTTTTATTTCAATTGAAAATAAAGATACCAGTAAAAATGTATAGTAAAAGAAATGATTATATAGATCTAGAAGAATTAGTAATGTTTTAGCCTTCATTGTTTCAAAGGAAAATATAAAGTTCAACAACATATTTCTAAAGGATAATTTTCCAGGTCCCAAGTGACAATTTATAGCCAGAGCCATATAATTCTGAATTATATAGATCTTTGTAAATTTAAATGGCCGTGGGAAAGTTCTTCTGGATTTAGCAATTTTACAAAACATCAGGGAAGGGAAGATACTTTTATCATCTTTGACAGATTAACCATTTTTACATCCACTTAGAAGGGAAAAAGCTGTAATGCTTTTAGTGTTTGTAATTACAAGGCAGGATTAGTAGGCCTTTAAGGTTTTCATGCTGCTGTTTGTACAGTTTTTAGAAAGCTTTTCTTTGTCTGGTGAGTGTATATGTAATTATTATGAGACTGAAACAGTCCATTACAGCAGGCTGTACAAACAAGCAAAGCCCCATCTGTGGGATGTAGGCAGCACACAAAATCATGCACCCTCCGGTCCGCGGAAAAATCTCTTTCCATGGAACTGGTCTCTGGTGCCCAAAAGGTTGGGACCTCTGCATTACAGGATGAAGACCTGCTCATGAAGATTATAGATTATAATCTATCACATTGATCTAATATAGATTGGTAGACATTTAATGGATTTGTAAAATTTATTGATTGCCCATCTTACCACAGAATAATTCTGGATGGCTTACAATCTTAAAATGATAAAAACTATATATGGACATATATTCATTCAGCCACCTTCCATGAGTACAACCTGAGTCTTCCCACTCCCAGTCCAGCACCTTAGTGACACTGGCTCTCATATGAGAATATAATGTGTACATATATGAATGAGTTGATATCCATAAATGAACAACACATACATTTATAAATTAAAATAACTGACAAACTAAATACAGTTCTTTTTTTTATATATACTACAGTCCTACCTGTGTGCAGAAAAAGCAAATCCTGTGATACTACGGGAATGCACAGTTGAACTGATGATGGTATCTGGATTCTTTGTGTCTATAAGTACAATCATCCCACTTTCGTCACCTTTGAAATAACAATGGAGAACAAGCAGCTGGAATTAAATGGGTATTTAATATGCAAAATATTGTAATATGTAAAAAGGATTTTAAAAAAATATCCCTTACCCAAAACAAAAGTGTCGTTTTGATGTGGATGCCATGCCAGTGAGGTAGAAAGATTACAAGAGGCATTGCAGGCTGAATAATGGCAGAAAAAATATATAGTTAGGTTCACAAGGTTCTGTTTCAGAGAAAACAACTGACTGCTAGCTAATAGTCAAAAGAAAACACACACAAATAGACATTCCCTCCTTTAAACATATTTAGCTAACTTATTTCTAAAAAAAAAAAAACAGTTTAGACTACTCATTCATATAAACCACTGAATTTTTCCTAAAACAAAAATACATTGAGAGAAATTTTAGTCATTTATTTCTTGCATTAATATTCTGCTTTTTCTTTGGGATCTAAGGGCAGAATTAGAATTAGGAATTCCTTTAATTTTATTCCCAAAGCCACCATGGAAAGTTGGTTAGCTTAAGAATACATCATTGACCTAAGTGACCTCTCAAATTTAAGAGGAAATGTGAACCAGAGTAAGCGTTTAATGTCCTATATTTTATGCTACACTATTTCAACATTGTATTTTTTTATTTTCCTTTTAGAAGGCAAAATCTAAGAAAAAAGACAGGGATACAAAGGAGAAGGATATTTAAAACTGCTGTCCAGAAATAACTTGAGCACTTAATTAGACTTGTTACAATACTTCTAAATGCTGCATCCATTTCTACAATAAGGAAAATTTAACATAACAATTTTTATAATTCATAATTGGATTTCCTTCTTGAATTACATGATTCAAGTGATACCATCTGCTGCAAATAATTTTGATAAGCACTGGGGTGTGAGTTGGCTTTTAGGCATACTGGTAAGCCACTACAGTCTTGGGCAGATGAATATACACTGTCTGACTACATCATGTAGTGAGCCCCTCTTACCCAACCCCACCTCAAATCTATTCTTCTCATTTTATTTACTTGGAATAATGTTATATTTCTGCATTCCACAACCAACAATTAAAGCCAAGGGAGCATATCCCAAGCTTTGACTTGAAGTGAGTTTGCAAACCACAACTTAGTGATCATTAGTACCCACTCTGTGTATCTATAAAACTGCTCTAATGACTGGATTGAAAACCAGAGAATAGACTCCATGCATGAAAGAATTACGCAAACTATTAAAGCATTCATTCCAGGAACTGGATTTTGTGATTATAATTTTTGAACAGGACACTGATTCAATCAATGTTCAGAATGTTGGGTTAGAAAAATTTGTTCCAGGGGAACAACCACATTTCTCTCTAACCTTTATCATAAAGATCTCTAAGAGCTCCTGCTGGAAAGTACAGTTCACTGACATTTGAAAATTATAAGCTGCAGTCAATTGATCCCTTGGGCTGTTTCCCTGAGATTTATCAACTTCCCCCTATGAGACTGGAAGGAGTGGTCTAACCCTAGAGAGACAAAATCTTACATGTATCCATTCCCTGCCAAAAAGACCATAATGCAGATTGGGCATAAAGAGCTTTAAGTCAAAGACTTTTTGCCACCTCCAACTCTCTCTCTCTCAAAAAAAAGTACTGATATTTCTTTAGGCCTTCTTTTGATAGCAATGGATGAAATACTCTATCCACCTGCACCAAGAAGTAGGTGCACAGGAGTATATGAGAGTATGAGTATCTAAAAATTGGTATTCTTAGGACCTTCCAACTGGCTACTGAATAGCCCACTCAAAGGTTATGTCAGAGGGGAAAGACATAAAGCAGAAACATTTCCACAAAACTATCAAGCATGAGACATACCAATTCGAGATGCTGGTTTTGGAGATCTGGTATCCCAGAGTAAAACCCTGCTGTCCTAAAGAAGTGCAAAATTAATAAAACAGAATTAAAAGTGAAACTGTCAACCAAAATATACACTCTCATATTCCAGTTTTTCCAGATTTCTCCATTGCTTTGCAACACTATTATCCCTTTGACAATTTCTAAGATTCATTCACTTTTCCCTTGAGAACACAGAGATTAAGTCTGAATCTATATCTATAGTAATTCAGAAATAAAAAGTGTACTTTACCTCAGCACAGGACAGGAACACTGTATCCTTTCCAGGGCAGGAGGCCACACAAGCCACTTGACCAGAATGAGCTAGCCCAAATCAAAACAAAAAGTATCATGTATCCTATTAATATGGATTTGCTTAAGATTTAAACTAAAAATACTCCAAAAAAATCACTGGATTCACACAAGACAAAAATCTTTCTACACAAATGCACTTCATTAATGCTGCTCAGAAGGTGGAAATAATAACACTAGAAATGTGTATATGTGTTACAAACACAAAGTTCAAGCTCCATTAGTTATGAAGTTCAACAGATAACCATTTCTCAGCCCAACCTACACCTTGAACGTATGAAGCAACAATGGAATGAATGTGTTTGTGCATGTATGTGTATGCGTATAATACATAATAGGAATGAATAGCCATAAACAGGAATATTTAAGGAATGAGACTACTTCCAATTCAGACACAAAATCAACTTGAACCACATATCTTAGACATGAGAAAATAGATTTGATCCACATTTCATACAACATTGCATTCAGCTTAAAGAAGGCATACTAAAAAGTTTTAGAAGGCATATAAAGTTTTCAATGTCTATACAATTTTAAACGTTAAAAGTTGTTTTTAAAGCTTTAAAAATCTATGCAATTATACAAATACATTTCTGCCAATAAATATGGAAATAGGGCAAAGTAGATATATTAATAAGCATGGGACAAGAACATAGTGCTTCTTTATGCTTTTTCCTAATTAGTACAATTTTTCTTCGTAAATAACTTTCCAAATAATCTCAAAAAGCAGACAGGTAACTTAAAGCTGGACAAGAGACCTTGTGCAAAGGGAGTAGAAAAACGCTAAATGGGGGGTTTACTTTATAATTACGGTTAAGTGTTTAGTGGCTTTGTTGATTTGGATAAGTACAATTATCTACAATTGTAGAAATATAATCAGCTGAATTCTATCCAGATAATAATCTTAATACCTTGCAGTAAAAAGTAATGTTTGAAATCTATCTTGTGAGTATGAGAATGCTTTTAGTTAATTTGAGCCACCACAATTAACTTAAAAATTAAGAGATAAAAAAAAATATCATGGATTATCTCCTAAATAACAATTATGGCTCATAATGTTGAGTCATCTCATGTGTCAGCTTAAGTAGAGTAATAACCCTTGCTAAAAACTGAAATTGGGGTGCCTTTTTCTGATTGTAATATCCCATTTTTTTTCAGATCTAGTTGTCTTGCAGTAAATTTTACATACCCAAGCAATTCAAAAATTTTATATAACTTTCTGTCTCTAATCCATGCTGGACAGAACTTGAAATATGCTCAGACAAAGGAAAACCAGCAGCTACATGGCTACTTCTTCTAAACTCCCTATAAAATGGAGCAAATCAGCCAAGTCCAGCATGGATAGCACAGTCTTCACCCTGCTGAGATGATTTCAGCTAAAAAAAAAAAAAAAAACCAAATGGATTGATAAGACTATTTGAAAAACAGTAAACCTATCACAACAAAAACTGAAAACTACTGGGTGTCTGAAAGCACACCAATCTTCTGCCAAAGTTGCCAATCACAGAGCACAAATTATGACAAAACTCAGATGCACTGACTGTAAATAGAGAAAAGCATGTAATTGGATACCAGTGTGTTGAAGGAAGACATTTTGATTCATCTCTGTTCATTCATGAAGTTTATTTGATCAGGTTGAGATAACTGTCATCAATCTTCCCACATGAGAATACACTGGGACAAAGGTGAATCACTTGGAATTTACTTGGGAAGAAAGGCAGAAAGAAATAATTGAATAAGGAAATATTTGGCAAGTTTGGCTCTTACCTTTATATGTGCCGAGTACTGTTTGTTGAGGAATATCCCAGATCTTCACACTAGACATAAAAGTCAGATGAGATTTATGAAAAAATATAGATGTTTTTATACAAAGCAGAAACACAACTGCACAAGAGAGTCACCTGAAATCTTTGCTGCCACTGATGGCCTGTGTGTTGTTGGAAACAACACTCACAGTTGTCACAATGTCATCATGCTCGTATTTACAGAATTTGTTCACTATCAGAGTCTCATTCTCATCCAGCTCCCAAAATTCCAGAGCACCTAAGGAATAGGAGAGAAGAAAGTCAAATTCATACTCTGCAACTTGCATTGTTTGATTGTCTTAGGGGAAAAAAGCCCTACAAGGGGCTATGTCTAGTCCAGAAACTTCAGTTTGTATACATCTTGGCAGCTAGGCTTGTCCTATTAAGAATATAAAGAGACCATATTATTATATCTGGGCTTAAAGCACTCCAGTTGTCAATTTGTTTCTGGGCAAAATACAAAGGACTTCTTATGTCCCTACAAGGCTTAGATCCACGCTATCTAACCGAACACCTCATTTCATATGAACATCTATCTTTTACAGATTGTCTACCTTAGTGTGGTTAAAGTTGCTAAGATTTGGAACCAAGCCTTCTCTTTTACAGTCTCAGCTCTTTAGACCACATTTCCTGCAGATATGGGTCTAATATTTCCATTAGCTTTTAAAAACCCCATTAAAGCACATGTTTCTGTCAGTCTTTATTTTTAACAGTTATTTTTATACGTTTAAGTTTGCTATAATCAATGTTTCTAATGTCTACATTTAGAAAAAAATCAACTGAAAGATTTCAGTACAGAGCAGTGCGTCAAAATTAAACATAAACATAACTGTGATATGTGGTATTTGTTCCATCAAATGTTCATTGAAATATGGGATAACCTAAACTATAATACAATGCAGCTTCATTACAAAACAAGAAATTGCTCAAGCATTCACAGAAAATATCAATAATTGTTACATCATTGATTGTTTTGCTTGATCACACATATGCAACAAAAAAGGCAGAGACAAGCAGACACTTTTAGTTTGTCACGGGCTTGAAGAAAGAAATAAAGCAAAATCTCAAGCTGGCATTTTGTATCCAAACTCCATTGTCCAGTTCCTCCAGAATATTTTGATTTTCTATAGGATCATTCTGCTATTTTTGGAAGTGATTCTTCCAATATGGGAAGTAGTTTTCAACATTCTTGAATCAACATGTGCTAGGAAACTTCATCCCATCTTTGACACCATCTTTAAACCCTAACAAGTTTTAGGAGACAAATATCTTTTGATACTCACCTGAATCTGATGCTACCAAGATTCCTTTGTCTGCTACCCACTTCAGATCTGCTATTCCTGCTTCAGTTTGAACACCCGCAGAGCAAAAGCCTTCATTAGGAGCTCTTGATGTATCTTTGAATACCCAAATGGAACCAACCCAGCAACGTCCACTCAAACTGGATGCTCCCAGGAGCAGAGAACCATCTGAAAAGCAGAATTAAAACAGAGATTAGTGTAATAAATATATTTAATGTATAATGAATAAAGCATACAATGACTTGAGTTTTACATTTTACCCAGCACCTTTGTTTTTCAGCAGAGAACTGCTCCAATAAAGAAAATGTATTTTTGTCTTGAAATATGTTCCTAAATTCTTAGTCCAGTTTTGGATTCTACTCAAAGTGAGGGAGGAAAGTAAAGGGTTTTTTTTGCCTATACTCTCATTTACCAAAAAGTGTATAATGGGTGTATGTATAAAAATTATAAAAATATGAAGCAGCTAATGGAATGATAAGGACAATAGAAAAAAATCTGTAATAGAAGTGAGTTTATTCAAAGATGATCTAGCTGTTTGTCAAGGTGGAAACTTACTCAAGATTTTTTATAACTAAAAAATGACCAGAGGATTGTTCAACTCGCATAAGGTTTGAATCTGATTTTTTAATGACAAAAGTTTATCCACCTTTTAATGATAAAAAAGTGCCTTTTAAGCATAAGAGGTGCCCTTCAATCAACATTCACATGGGGGGGGGACCTTCACCTATGGAGAAAGCTGCTTTTCCTGAGTGTTGTCCAGGTTTAAGCATAATGCACTACACACAAATATTTAATACACAACTATAGAAGCAGACAAAAGCACAGTGGTTGCTACTAGCAGTTTACATTCTTACAAGTATTGAGGACCTCAAAGAGTTTTCATATAGCCAGGTTGTATCTATTGATACTTACTGTATTCAAAATTGAAACAGACACTTTAAAATATTATTTGAGATCACACTTGAGATCAAGTGATCTAGAGCAGAGGTCCCCAATCTTTTGGGCACAAGGGACGGTTCTGTGGAGAGAAAATTTTCCATGGACCCGAGGGTGTGTAGTTTTGTGTGCTGCCTATATCTCACAGATGGGTCTTTGGTTGTTTGTGCAGACTGGTTGCTGGTACTGGTCCATGGACTGGATGTTGGGGGTCCACTGATCTAGAGTACCCTTGCCTATATCAGACTAGGATTTTTGCAATTATTACAATCAATCCTCATCACTTGCTATGAAGGTTGGGAATTGTAGGTAAGGATAGCTGGAGCCTGAAGTGTGGGAAGACTGATCCTACAGCAAGAGTTTTATACTCTGTAACGATTCAGAACTTCGCAGGATAATTCTTGTTAGGTTTCTGCCATTTTTTTAAAAAAAAGACAAATATAAATTATAAACACATCAAAGAAGACAGATTTAAATTGCGTATAATGAATGTTGCATAAAATATATCAACAGAATGAAACTCGGCTCATAAGGCAGAAATAGCCAATTTAAGAGAGGCTCCAGTTGAGAGCGAAGTTCACGAGAAAGATAACTTGGGCACCCGACATCTCGGTTCCAAGCCACGAGAAGCGCGTAAAAGATCGCAACATCTCTGAAATGCAGGTTACAGGCTTCCGCAGCCTGTCGTCTTCCAGATGTTCGGGGCTACACCTGCCATTATTCCCAGGCGGTGATGGTGATGAGTTGTAACAAAAGGCGTTTGGGGACACCAACTTGGTAAACACTCATGGGATACCTGATCGGTAATGGGCCCCGTCCAGGTGGCGCTCCATGCAGGCGGGAGCGTTGGGCGGAATATTCCATTCGGGTCCGGTTTCTGCCTCCACTCCATGCCCGGGACTCGGTTTGGCTTCTTCCATAGGTACAGCAGTGAAATGCGACCCAGCAAACTCCAAGCACGCCCACGTGTTCCAAAAAGACACCCGCAACCGTCCCGATAGTACTCTCCCTTGTCTCGCGAGAACTTCCAAAATACTCCCAGGCGGAATTCAAGCCTTTGCATGCTTTTCTCGCGATATTTTCCTAGGCCATCTAATTAAGTTCTATAGAGCTGGAACTAAGTGATTCTCAATCTCCCATTCCAAAGTCTAAGTGAAAATGTTAAATTGCATTCTGTCTGTAGTATTCCTCTCCAATCTACCAATGTAATTTGAACTGACATTTATCAGATGTGATTGTTTTAAGACTTGGGTAGATGTATTAGATGGCTGTAATCACGCTGAATTCTGAAAGTTGACTATCTTACTATTCTGTTCTAAATAGCTGTACCTTGGGACTTCCTGGTACATTATCAAGTTTTCATAAATAAAATTTCACCTTCAGCTTTGCAATGCAAGCACAACAGCAGGGGAATGTATTTTACATAACTGCTCATTTATTTTGATTTTGATTGTAACAACACCTTTTAGAGGTGAAAGATGATATAGACATGTTTTATAAATAAATAAAATAGTAGTATTGGCTTGCCTTGAGCGGATCTCATCCACAGCCTGGAAAATGAGAACAATGGTATATTTAAGTTGGGTGATATGAATCACTGTGTTTTATAGTATCAATTTTCCAATTGTTTAAAATGTTCTCATCAGGTTTTCCCTCAAACTCAAACTTGAAAGAGCATAATATTTCGCATCAACGAAATACAGTCCCGCAATCACCAGTAGATGTCCTTGTGGAACTTTTTTTTAGTTCCACGGTTTTGGGTTTTTTAGCTTTTTTTAACTACTCTCAGTTGTATTAGCGTAGCTCTACGGTGATAGCCGCTGAGTCGGAGGCGGTGCTCGGAGGATGTAACGCGAGTCCGGTTTTCTCGCGAGACTCTCGTGACGGGGGCGGCCATTTTAGTGTTGTGGCCGAGGGTCATAGGGACGTTGGGCAGTGCTGGGGAAGGCACGATGCTCTCTCGGTTGGCGTTGCGTGTCCTGGGTGAGTGAATGAGAAAGGGGAGGCCAGGGGGGCGTGAGGCCGGGGTGGGGGTTGCACTGTGACCTAATCTGCTGTTTTGCTCTCTGCAGCCCCAGCCGGCCTGAAGAGCTCAGTGGCTCTACCCTCCCTGTCATCGGGGTGAGTATAGCTGGGTCAGTGGGAAAGGGAATGGGACGCGCTGATGGCCTTGAAAGGTAGTCGGCATCTGGGTCTTCTCTGTTAAGAATCGGTTTGTTCCTGCCTCAAGTGAACCACACGCCACATGAATATCCTCATTTGGATGGCAAAGGCCTTTTGGTTGAAAGTGTTAGATGAAATAGGGAAATTGAAATGAACCCTGCAGTTGGTCAGCGGCTCTTGACCATCTTTACTGTGATTTATACATTGATGCAGATTTATTATCACAAAATATGGAAAACAAAAAAAAACCGTTTCGGTAGTTAGGTGGAATTAAAAAATGTAGTGAATTGCTCTGGCTACAAGCTTTGAAAAACGAATTGTGGAGGATACATTTATTCAAGTCTGGTCCCCATTAGCTATCTGAAAGATGGTCTTTGTAATAAATTTTCTTGTGCAAATGTAATTTTGCATAGTGATAATTCATTAAAATATTTGTATTTCTCCTTAAAATCATATGTGTATTCATGGTATTCATTATGCAAGTTTTTATCTTTTTTATTTGCATTTACCTATGTCCCTTAAAAGTTATTGCCTGATTATTTTTAGCAAAATTATGGAACATGAGGCCAATATTTAGCATGTTAAATGACTTTTTTAATTAAAGTGTAATTCATGCATCAAGATCACTTCACACAAGTCAACAGCACTTGGCTCCAGTGCCATCGCTTCCAGAGAAAGGAGGAAAAGTTCGCCATGGAATAATCCCTGAAGAATTTTTCCAGTTTTTATATCCTAAAACAGGAGTCACAGGTATACCTTTGAAACTATTCTAGCATTTATTTAGTTTACTTAATTCATGATTTTTTCAAAGTATTTTATGTATACATTATGGAATATTCAGATGCTATCATTATTAATAGATTTACTGCCAGGATATTTTATTATACTAGTCACTGGCAGTGAAATGATAAATATTATGAATATATATTTGATTTGATTTTTAAATTATGCATTTAAACTTATTTGTGGCAAATGCAGGCTTGTGCAATTAATTTTTGAATGTATTTATTGTTAGCAGATAGCCAGATAACCACAATTAAAACTGATAGTCTGGGGTGACACATTCCCACATATCAGCATTCTACCTTTCCCAACTTTAGCTTTGTTCTACTCCAATATTTGCAGAAGTGCCAAGGCCTTATGGGTTTCTGAGTGAATGGTGTTCCACAGGGCAGAAGCAGGAATGAAGAAGATAAGCTTTCTGGGTCTCACTATATGACAACAATTAAGGGATGGGGCCTGGGGCAGGCAATAACAAACCCCTTCTGAAATCTTGCCAAGAAAACTACAGAGGCTTGCCCAGGCAGTCACCAGGAGTCAGTGCTGATTCATATAACCAGTAGCATTTTAGATAAAGTCCCTGAAATATTGCTTTAATATTATTAAAATTATTAATTGCTTATTAAAATTGCTTAATTGCTATATCTTGATGAAATTTTGAAAGAAGAAATGACAATTTAAGGTTTGCACTTCTTGTTTCAGGCTTATGTGACCTGCCTCAAGAGCAATACCTTTTGCCTCTTGCACTTTATATACGGGGGAAAGATAATGTGTACAATATTCTTGAGGATCATTTTAGCTCCTTTCCATTATATTGAGTGTTTCTGCCCTCTGTATAATATTATATTTTGCTTATTGCTAGGTCCATATATGCTTGCAACTGGACTGACACTCTACTTCCTGTCTAAGGAAATTTATGTAATAAATCATGAAACAGTAACTGGTGTTCTTATTGTGGGTTTACTTATCTATGGAATTAAGAAGTATGGTCCTGCTGTAGCAGCTTTTCTTGACAAAACAATGGACGTAAGTATAGTGCTTCAGTTTTATTATACCTTGTTGAATAGCTTATTTTGTTGTTGGTATATTCCCAGGAATATTATAATTTAATATATTCTGCATAATGTGAGGCATTTTAAAGGAATTTTTAGAATACAGAATACTTTTTGATATTTGCAAGCACTATTATGGTAATAAATACCTCCCAATTTAAGTTTGGTCTTTCTAACTCCTATTTTAATTATTTACTACTGAGATTTCTAGTTGCTGTAGGCTAGTTATGAATCATTTGCAGGAAAATACAGTGCATTAAAAGCAACAAAAAGAAAGACAAAAATAATAGAATAAAAATTATATCCATCAGGGGCAGACCCAAACTAATATCCTCCCAAAGCCTTATCAAATATCCAGGTTTGTACAGACCTGCAAAACCCAGATTTGTAAGGGCAAGCAGTTTGACAAAAATATCATACATGTATTTACACAGGCTAATTCCATGATTTTCATACAGGCTGCATTCTAGATAAATATACATAAAATTGTAACACAATTGTAATCTTTTATGTTATTTAAAATTATCTCGCAGATAGTCCTTGAATTACAGCTCTAATTGGAATTGGAATTTCACTAAGAGCAGCAGTTGTTAAGCAAAGCATCATATGACTACATTGCTTAGTGATAGCAATGCTTGCAGTCCAGATTGTAGTCATTAGGCCATGATCATGTGGTTGTTAGACAAAGACTTCATTCTCTGTTCTGCTCAAACCTCTGCTTCACCTCCACTTGCTTTTGACTGCCTTGTATTTTGCTGCCACCTTCGCTGTTCCAACTGACTTTCATCATTCTTTTTCTCTCAGTGCTGGCCTGGAATCCAGGTGCTAGGAAAGGCCACAGCCCTGGGAATGTATCAGAGACTTGTCTGCTGAAGGAAGCTTGCCAGACTAGGCTGGAGAAGTACAGAACAAAGCTGGCAGATGAGCAATGGGGTAGGATGAGCGGAGGAGCCCCATTTTGCAATGCAAGGAACAAGGCCTCAGATTGTGAACAGCGCAGTGAATCATACCAGCAAAACATACTATAGTCTGTGGTTGGGTGGGCAGGAGAGGCAGAAGTGGCTCCCCTGGCAAAGATGGCGACTGTGCAGGAGAGAGGTACTGTTCAATGTGGTGATAGAACAGTAGAAAATGAGTAGGCTCTTTTGGTGCTGGGCTCGCCTCTCCCCCTTGCTGAAGCCCACATGCTAGTTCTCCAGGAGTGTTTCCAATATATATTCCATAGCATGCATTGGAAGCTGCTGGCCCTTTACACGGCTTTGCAAGAGTAAGACTGGACTGAGTGAGCAGAGGGTGTGTGGGTAGGCCTTTTGGGCTCATGTCCATCCCTCATTGAAGCTCACAGGCTGGTTCTTTAGGAGCATTTCCAAAAAGTCCTGGAGAGCATGTGTTGTGCCTCTGGGAAGCCCTCAGCCTTCTGCTTCCTCCAGTTCCACTGCCATCCTGAACAGCACCTCCTGCACAATAACCACCTTTGGCTAGGGATCTACTGCTGCCTCTCTTGTTTTGCTCAGCAAATGAGGGTGCTGTACTTCACCAGCCTGTCCTGCTGCACTCTACATGCTCTGCAGGATCTTGTTGCTCACACTGGCAGCAGAAGATGGAGATCCCCTGCCCACAAATGCCACCTTGCCTATTCCCTGCTGGGTCTGGTAAGCTTTCTTTGGCATATAATATTCTGCTGATCTGCCATGCTCACAGTACATATCCTTGGGCTGCATCCTCATTCAGTGCCTAGATCCCAGACAAGCAGGAGAAGAAAGAAGGGAAGAAGGCCAGCTGGGAATGGAGGTAGCAAAATCTACAATGGCTGAAAGGGCAGAGAGATGGAAGTGGCTGGCCTTTTGGCAGACAAGGCTCTGTCACCTTGCCACACATGTCCAGGGATGCATCTTTGCAAAGCACATGGATCCCAGGCCAGCAGTTGAAGGAAGAAAATGGTTAAGGTCAGCTGGGACGGCAATGACATGGTAGGTAGTGAATGCAAGGTGTCCAAATGGGCAGAATTGGGGGAGATAGGTGGGTGTTGGATGGTTCTCACATGGCAGGAGAAAATGAAGTATGAAGTAAATGCAGACTGGTCGCCTAGCTCTAGCCCTAGTGCTCATCTTGATCACGTGTCACTTCAAAGACTACTGTGTTTCCTCGAAAATAAGATCCAGTCTTTTATTTTTTTACACAAAAATGCATTAGTTCTTTTTTTTCGGGGAACATCTTATTTTTTGGGGAGTGGAGCTCCCCTACGTGCCCCATACCCAGGCCACTCCCTGCTCACTGATTTCCCCCCATTGGTTCAATGGCCCGGCTGCCCACTCGCCTCTTCCCTTTCACTCTCCTCCTGAGCCGGACTGTCATGCTGTGGAAGATGGGCCTTACTGGTCCCATCTGCTGTTTTGGGGCCAGGGGCGAGTGTCAGCGAAAGGATCTGCCACTGCTGCGCAATAGCCGTGTCTGCCACTGGAGGGGCTTTCTTCAGTCACCACCACCCACTTCGTCCTGCAGATCACCTGCCCGGTGGCAGCCGCCACCTCCACCAACTGTCCTGTGGCCTCCCTCTGCCAGCCCTCTGTTGCTGCCATCACACTTTCTTGCCACATTTCCTTGCTGCTCTGCATTGGCCCTCATCTCCCTACTTTGTTCTGGAAATGGCAGCCCCATTTTCTGCTACTTTCTTCCTGGCAGAAGGGAGGAAAGGAAGGATGCTTCGTATGGAAGGATGCTAAGCTCCAGGAAAACTATGCTAGCTGGAGCTGGGCGAGGAAGGCCAGGTTTCCCTTCCCCCGATGGTTCTGTAAACCTCTTGAGAAGCGGATCCGCTTCCCACAGGGCCGGGCCATGCTGAGGGGGCTGGACTCACACATATTGGTACATTCAGCTTCTTACAAAAATCCTAGCTACCGTATCCTCAGCTGATGAGGAAGAAAACATATCTGCTCTAGATTTTAAGGCAGAAAAGTGAAGGGGGGTCAATTTCAAAGGGCCTCCTGGAGCAAAGTTCTTCTGTTTGCCGTCCGAAGTGGCGATGACAGAAGACTGGCGGAGAGAGGAAGCAGGGGAGGCTTGTGCAAGCCACAGGAGAGTTGGCAGAGGAGAAGAAGGTGGTGCCTGCCATCAGGCAAGTGATCTGCAGGGTGAAGCGGGAGTGGCAGGAACCGAAGAAAGCCCCTCCAGTGGCAGAAGCGGCTGTTGCACAGCAAAGGGCAAAGTCTTTTGCTGTCATTCCCCCCTGGCTCCGAAATGGTGGAGGGGGCCCAGGTAAGGCCCATCCTCTGTAGCATGGCAGTCCGGAGGGGAGGGGTATGAAAGGGAAGAGGTGGGTGGGCAGCTGGGTCATTGAACTGGTGGGGGAAGTCACCGAGCGGCAAGTGGCCTGAGTGCAGGGGCCCTGGGGTAAGCGGGTGCAGGGCACATGGGGCAGCTCCACCCCCATCCCCACCCTAGCTTTATTTTTACGCATGTACCTCGCCCCACCTCTTACAGCCAGAGATCTTAACTAGGGCTTGTTTATGAGGTAGGACTTATACTAGATGCACACGTAAAAATCAAGCTAGGGCTTATTTTTGGGATAGGGCTTATTTTCGGGAAAACGATAGTTGTTAACTACCTTTTGTTCAGCACCATCATAACTTCAAAAAGTCGCTAAACGAATGGTCCTAACCTGCGGACTAACTGTATTTCCTTCTTAGCCTGTGTATCCTCATGTGCTGTTATTTGTGAAATGTCAAGACTTTCAAGGAGGTAATAAAACTGCCCAATAAAACTTACAGAATTTAATGTATCTGAATATTCCAGTTCTGTCCCTCCCTCCCTCCCTCCCTCCCTCCGTGTGTGTGTGTGTGTGTGTGTGTGATTACTAGAATGGTTGTCCAGAATTAAGAGATGCCATGTCATGCAATTCGAATGTTATTATCTGATTCAGGACGATACACCCATATATTATTTATTCAAGTAGAGAAAAATGCAAACTGATATAATCAGCTGCTTAATTTAATTTGAAGTATTCTTGCTTGCTATTTAACTAAACGGAGAGACAACACTGTCTCCTGTATTATTCAACATTATATGAACTGGGAGCTCTGCCATATTTGTCTCATAAAATGAGAAAATAGGTCTTAATTATTCTAGTTTCTTCTAACAAACCACAATTCTGTCTATCGTAAATAAAACAGAAGTAACCATCTTTATGTGCTTGGCCATTCTTGCTGGTAGAAGGAATCAAATGAGAGCAGTGACCACCTGTATTCTTGTTAACAGTTAAGCCAAAATTCAATCTGAATGCAGCCTATGATGATAAATTGCTTGTGTTTATAATCTTTTATCTAATTTCATTTTTTTTTAAAGTAACTATAGTGTTTTTGCAAATAGTATTGTATCAGGATAAAATTGGTACATGGCAAAAGACTTTGAACATTATGATTTCTTTTAGGATTAAACTGACTTATACTTCTCTCATTTTAGGAGGAACTTGCTGCTTACGAGGACTTAAAAAGTGCTTATATAAATAGATGCCAGAACGGAATTGAGGAGGAAAAAAAAGAGCAATGGAGACTTCAGGGTCGCCACTATCTCTTTGATGCCAAGCGGGTACAGTAGGAAATGGAACAGTTCTAAAAATTACTTGCAAACAACTCTCACAAACACTTTTCTTGTCCAAATCAGCTAGGGCTGACAAGTTAAATCCAAACTTCTGGATGTTATAAAGTTGTCTTACCAAATCCCTCTGGTAACTATTATAATAATGAATAATGGTTTTATTTTTATGATAGTACTTGTGATTTATGAGAGTAGTACTCAGTTCATGCCTTAGTCATGTTATAGCGAACTGTTCTGAAATATTCTATATGGGTCTGTCCCTGAAGAGCACAAAAAACTACAACTGGTACAGAATGGTTCATTCAGGTACCCTATGCTCTGTGAATTGCACTTAATTATCTAATACTTTTTCATACAAGATTCATATGTCTTTTCTGTTTTGTTTTCACACTCATTTCTTCCATTGTTTTCTTTTCCTTGTGCACTTTTCTATGCTTGCTTTTTATTCAGGAATCACTCTTGACATAACCAAAACATGAACTATCACTATTTGTGTTTTTTTCACTAGTTCTATCACTTTCATCATAAATAATTAAAACAATTAATGCTTTTTGATTTATATTCATTCCGTTGCCATCTGTGTGTACAAAAACAACAACAACAATAATAGAAATAGTGAATCACCTTATCAGTGTCTGCAGCAAAATCTCACAGACTGATTATCTACAATGTCATGACTGAGTTGCAAAAATCATACATTGGAAGCTTTGCCAGAAGTTTGGGTTCGAATGCAGCAAAAATTACTGGGAACACCAAATTGACAAAATCCTTGAAAATGAGCAAGTCAAGATCCTGTGGGACTTTCTGATCCAAGCAGACAGACATCTGGCCCACAACATACCTGACAGCGCTATTGTGGAAAAGAAAAAAAGTGTGGTTCATTGATATTGCAATACAAGTTGATGCACAAATTGAAGAGAAACAGCTAGAAAAAATAACAAAATATAGTGATTTGTAAATTGAAGATGAGTGACTATGGAGAAAGAAATCAATGGGTTGTACCAATAGTAATAGGAGCTCTTGGAGCAATACCCAAAGGGCGGCCTAGATACATGGAATTTTTGAACTTATTAGACCTGAATATTCTGACTTTGCAAAACAAAACAAAAAACCTTACTCGGAACTGCCAGTATACTTAGACACTACTTTAACAGCTTTTTGGTCCTTGATTAGGATGAACTGCTAAGTTTTTACCAGTCCCAGATTGTGAATCTAATTGAAAATTAAATTTTAAATAATAATAATAAGGTATTGGAAGAATATCTGAAGGATAGAGAGTAAGACGCACTGAAGCTACCAGGAAGGCTTATTAAGTACTGGAGAGATCAAACTGGCCAGCAGGAAGACCAAATGAAGAACAGAAAAAAGACATGGGAAGACTAAGAATTGTTTGGCCAGTACATTAAAACCCTGCTATTAACAATTGATGATGAGAAAAACAAAAAAGGCTGGATGGTGGATATGGCAGCACCTGGAGATAGCAGAATAGAAGAGAAAGAACTAGAGAAGATAACAAAATACAAAGACCACAAATAAAAATAGAAGGAGTGGGGCAAAAGAAAACAAAAATAATATCAATAGTAGGCTTCTTGGGTACAGTCCCAAAATCACTGCAAGACCACTTGAACCCCTTTGGCATTGACAAAATCAATTTGCAAAAGGCAGTTTTACTTGGAACAGCTTACACCCTGCAACAATACCTTTAACACCATCAAACATTAACATCTGCCTATCCCAGGTCCTTGGGAAGGATTCAGTAGGTGGATAAAAATGCCAGATCCAGTTTTTGACTTAAAACCGTTTGTTTAGTGAAATTATGGTACTAAAAAAAGTGACATAACTGATTCTCACACTTATGACCATTCCAGCATCCCCATGGTCACATGATCAAAATTTGGACACTTGGCAACTGGCATGTATTTATGATGATTGCAGTGTCCCAGAGTCCTGTGACCTTTTGCAACCTTCTGATAAGTGAAGTCAGTGGGGGAGCCAGATTCACTTTACAACCATGTTACTAACCTATCTGCAGTGATTGACATAACAACTGTGACAAGAAAGATCATAAAATGGAGGCAAAACTAATTTGGCAACTGTCTCTTACCAACAGAAAACATGGGCTCAGTTGTGATCATGAGTCAAGGATTACTTGTATATTACATGGATTACATATTACTGGAAGAAAGGAGATGTCAGAAATAAAAATCGGCAAAAGATAATAGCAAATGTTTAAACTTGTCATTTATATCTTGCTTTGGGAATATGGATTATTTTCATATTGGTTGAATTTGTGGCTTTTCTTGCATATCTATGTATTCTGCTTATTTATGAATACTGAATATATCACATAAGTATGATAATCAAAATAATAAGGAATCTCATGTTTTCTTATCACTTTAGAACAATATTGCTATGATCCTGGAGGCCAACTATAGAGAAAGGCTTCTCATTGCATCCAGGGAAGTGAAGAAGAGGCTAGATTATCAAGTTGCATTACAGCAGCTCAAGCGGCGTCTGGAACGAGATCATATGATCAATTGGGTAGAACAAAGTGTTTGGCAGAGTGTTACTGCCCAACAGGTACTTAGCAAATATTCCCTTACAGGTAGCTTGTGGCCATTTGACTGCTGGAAAAGCCACTAGCTTTCCCTTCCTTTACTTCAGTAGTGAAAAATTATTATATCTATCCAGTTGGGCAATAAATGTATCTTGATCTAGAACTAATATTTCATTGTATTGATTTTACTCTTCTGTATTTTGTTGATGAACCATATTAATCATAGAAGAGGTTTTCAGAATATATGCTGGACTTGGAGATTTTTCAGCTCCATCAACCTCTTCATAAAGTTTCAGATTGTTCATTGATCTCCAAATATATATTATATGAAAATAATTTAATAAATATTGCTTTAATTAATAATATTCCTACAATAATAATAGCAAGATTAACCTTTGGGGGTTAGTATTGACCACTTTGGGGAACCTACCTTTAAAGCATCCATGTCTTTTTTTCAAGCTTCCGCACAGACTGGAAAGACACTGCTGTATTCATGGCCACACAGAAGTCTAAAAAAAATGTGGCTTGGTTACTCTACAGAGATCCTACAGTTCTGAGTTCTAGTGTAATTTTGAATTAATTTCAAAGCATGCAGATCCCTTTTGTCGATCTTTTTTGAAGTAAACAAGACATACAAACAAAAGCAACTCTTAGATATTGTCCATTAATACTTATTGAGGAATAAGCAATATTTTTGGGCCAGTGGGAATAAGGGAAAATTGTGAGCAGTGTCACAAGTGGCTGTCATAGGCTACAAATATTAGCCTATAGATAAGTACTATTTTATTTTCAAAGTTTCTATGTGATGTGTTCTTACAAATAAGAATTATATCAATTTTCCGTTTTGAAAATAATGGGCAGATAGGAGAGCAATTAGATGTCCAAGTCTCTTCTCAATCTTGGTTATTTTATTTTATTTACTTTAAATATAGTAAGCTGTAAAACAAAGTACAAACTTCATTACTCGATTCTACATAGCAGTTGGGCTCTTCAGAATCCTTATTACAAAGTAATGGATGACAGCCCAGTACTTTATTTGGAAGGGAATACAGACAAATATAAACTGAGATTCTCATTCTTTAAAAGTAAAAGAAGCATGGGAAAAAGCTTCCTTTCTAATAATGTGTGTGTCGTGACTATGCCCACCATGGTAGCTATTTTCTGAAAACCCCAATAATATACCTCAAAATTCCACACTTTGTAGAGGTTGGGAACTTCATTCATTGTTAGAATAATAGCTATTACTTTTTAATTTATTTGTTAAATCACTCAGTTGGGGCTAAGAGCCATGTTGGTCTCTAAGCAGAACTGCTTTGATTTGTTCTTTATTTTACAAGTTTGGCAAAACATAGCTTGTGGACTCAGCCAAGTATGAGTTATTCAACAAATCATGGTTAAGCATATATAAAAGTATGTGGTGCTCCATTGGAATTTGGAGTGGGAAGTTTTTCTAAATATTTCTGTATAAAATTAATAGAATGCAATTGTTTCTCTAGAGGCCCAAAACCTATTTTCTTTAAATGCACAATTATCAACCATAACTTCTCTTTTTCCAAACTATAATAGCAAATGTAGAGAGATGTATTGATCTTAGTTTTTTTTTTTTTAAATTGAGATTAATCACTGTGTTTGGAGATAATTTTCCATTGTAATTGTGATAGAAAGGCTTGTTTAATTATCTTTTTTTCCTTAAAATGGAGAAAATGTTAAAATATGATAAGAAGGCACACTTTTCCCCCATAAAATTGTCTTTATTTTTTTTTCATATCATTCCATGCTGAAAAGATTACTTTATATAGTAACAATATACTTTAACAACATACTTTTATTCTAAATATAGGGCAATTGGCTTAGGGCAGTCTTCATAAATCTTATATCTCTACATTTTAAGATAGCAGACTTTTTGACTGAGGGGATTGGGTAAAGAGCCAGATTTTTCATGATATCAATTAAATTCTCTAGGAACGGATTTTTTTATGTTACATTTTTTCTTCATTGACCTGAAGACTTTATTTAAGAACCAAGTATGTTCTTATTTTTTTATTTTTTATTATTTTTTGTATTTTTATATCTGATCAGTAGATGTTTTTTCTTTTAATACTGAGTTTTGGAAAGGTCATATGCAATTTAAGTAACTTCATTCTTGATTTTAAATTCTTAATTTCAATCAAGAGTAAATGTTTTAAAGTTTCTGTGTATTTAATAGCATGTAATTTGTATTTGTACAGAAGTCAACTGTAGAATCATAAAGATGCAGTGAACTCCAAAACTAACCTCCTCCAGATTTTGAATATTTTCTGTAGGTTCTTTCAACTAAAATGTTAATTTCTTTTTTATATTATAGGAGAAGGAGAGTATAGCTAAATGCCTCTTGGACCTGAAAGCACTGTCAAAGTCTGCCCAACCATCTCTCTAAGTCAAGCATTAAGTTGTAACTTCCGGAATTGTACAATTTCTATCCTTAATTAAAACATATGTATCCTGGTTTTGTTTACTCTGAAAGCGCCTTGAATGTGTTCCTCTCCTTATATTTTCACATCACAATATTCAGAAAAGGAATTATCTTTGCATATTCAACCACAAAATGAAATTTATATTTGTCTTCTCTAAATATGGCTAATACTCTTTCACACACTTATAAACAATTCAGAAGAGATGTTTTGTCAGGCCTCTTCACAAACGAGAAAGGTAAGAAATCAACTTATTGTAGTTAATGCAACATTTAAAATAGTGGCACACTGGTGGCATAAGATCAGAGTTTGAGATTTTATGAAATTTCAGTAATATTCAGTAGATCAGCAAATAGCACTTTTTAAAGATTTAACATTGGCTAGTAAGATCTGTTAACTGTTATTCTTCAAATGCAGTAAATGTCTAGTAGCAACCCTCTCTGATGGAATGTAGTAAGGAGGTGGATTCCCAGAAGGGGGGGAGTACATTCCAAAGAAGTAAGAGGCAACTCAGCCCAGATATTATGTGTGAGAGAAAGAGGGTGAAAATAATTTCTAATAGTTCACAGAGTATATTGTAAATGAAGATAGAATGCTCAGTTTGGCAAGATTTTGTCTATTGGTGTAAAACAATAAAGAACATCTTAAAAGAATTGCCCTGTGTCAGTCTTGGTTTGGGACTGACCTTAGTACTTGGCAGCATATGTTCACAGTAATCTAACATCATTTATACCTGGTGTATTTAATAGAGATGAAAATGTAAAATACAGGATTCATTTCTGTATATGTTTATTTCACCATATATCAGTTACCCAGTAATATCAAACTGAAAAGGTAGTTGAAAGTAATTGCAACTACCTATTAGATATTCACCAGGCTTTCCTACATATTTCTAAATCCTTTATTTAACATTAAATATTAAATTGTGTTCATATATATAAGGAATTTCTCTAATAGTCTGAGTGTGAATAAATAGCTACAATATTAAATGTGGAAGATTCCTTAGATGTGCAGTTCCCTGGACATTTTTATTCTGGAGATATAGATGATGGAATTTATGACTGAACTGGAATGCAAGAATACATAATTTAAAGAGGATAGGATGTTTCAGGGGAAAAACATGGTTTTTTTACTATTAATCTCCATTTGTATCTTACTTGATGAAAACAATATAAACTATTTTAGGAGATGGAGAGGAAAATGGAGTTGCTTTTGAACCTATGAGCATTCCTTTACATTTTTCATGTAAGAACTTTATTTGTATTAATTTTATTAAAAGAAATAGGGAGTGGTAACATTTTAAAATTGAATTGACTATAAAATATTAGTAATTAAAAGGCTGGTATAAGTTAGAGTACTATAAACATATTATTGGTATTACTTTAGATAAAAATTAGTTCTAAGTATTAATCTTATAGAAAGAAAGGTGAGAGCAGTAAAGGCATAAACTTGTGGAGGAATGTATTTCTAAATATAAGTAAAACCTCTGAATCAAGCTTGACCGTAGGCCTCAAAGACAATTTAAAATGTTATGCTATATAGTTTTCCACATAGCAGTTATGATTGAACATGAGGAGAACTCCTATTAGAAATGTACCTATCTGATTTTGGGAGCAACATCAGTTGCAGTCCTGGGATTAGGAAGTGGCTATTGTTATCTGGGAGACTTGTGGTTTTCAGGGATGGTGTTCAAATATCCAAATGTAAAATACTGTTCTTGAAATTGAGCTTTAGGAATCAGGTGGCTTGCTGATACTGTACCAAGTTACCTGCAGTGTAATACTTCAGAGGTCCCTAAGCTGGCTGAGGAATTCTGGGAGTTGAAGTCCACAAGTCTTAAAGTTGCCAAGGTTGGAGACCCCTGTAATACCTTCCTACCTGAACTACTGGATGTCATAACTAGGTTAGAATTGGAGTTCTCCAGATCTTTGAAGACTTCAATCTGTCTTCCTTCATCATGGAGTCAGAAGCAGATTAGGAACAGATTTGTGGTCTCCAAGAACTTTGCCCTAGTTATCAAAGCTCATACTCCAGATAAGAATTTTGTTTCAGAGCAGTAGTGGTATGATCTGGAAATTTTCTTTTGCATTGGACAGGTCATTTCTTGTTAATTGTGCAGTTTTGTGTGGGATCCCTTTGCAACAAGCAAGAATATGTTAGATTGATCCAACCAGATACCTGATAGATCCCATTGGTTTTGAGAGGGTATTTGGGGTTGTCCAAGAGTCCTTCTGCATGGTTTGACTAAGGCATTAGCTGTTACTGAAAATAGGTAGACAACTGCAGCATTAGATCAGAGCATGCCTACACACACCGTTCATGGATTCCAGGGAGCCCCTAAGTTTTTCAAAGGTACTCCAGGAAATGAAATTACAAGAGATACCTAGAGCAGGGGTCCCCAACCACAAGTCCATGGACCAGCACCAGTCCGCGGCATGCCAGAAATTGGGCCGCACAAATAAAGGAAGCCTCATCTGCGGAATGCAGGCAGTACATGAAGCCACACTTCCTCCAGCCTGTGGAAAAACTTCTCTCCATAGAACTGGTTCCTGATGCCCAAAAGGTTGGGGGCCATTGGCCTAGAGCACTGTTAGTAGAAGACAAGCAAATCAGTGCAAGGTAGAAGTTTACTTTGTGGCAACCAGTGAATATTCAATTTAGTTAAAGTGATTAGTAGAAGACAAGCAAATCAGTGCAAGGTAGACGTTTACTTTGTGGCAACCAGTGAATATTCAATTTAGTTAAAGTGACCCAGTGGTGAAAGAGCAAGAGAAGCACCTAGTAGGCTCCTATAAGAAATGCTCTTGGCATTTATTGGCTCAAGTTACTAGTATCTTTGCATTGGGCGCTAGTTAGACAAATAGTATGGAGTTCATTGTCTAACTTAACCTATTGGGGAAGAGTTTAAGCTTGGTCCTGAGGAATTAGACATCCTTGAAACTGTAAATTTAGTCACCAGTGTTTAAGATCCATGTACCTCTGGTTGGTACATGGATCTTGGAGGAAAGCATGTTACCAAATCTGTATGAGATGCTAAACCCAAATTTATTTTTGTATAGAAATATTCTGCTTTCTACTCTGATGAATACTGAAGGTAGGTAACAAAATTTTAAAACAAAGCACAAGTGATGGTGGGTTTTTTTAAATGTAAATGCTAAACTCTGTTAACATTTCAAAGCCCAGAGAAAGGATTCTCTATGGGCTGCAAAATGTACATAGAACACAGCACAGTATTTTCAGATTTAATAAATGTTTGACAAACATCAGTGCAGATACTGGGTACAGGCAAAGAAATGTACTCTAATATGATATTTTCTTGGCTGTCCATAATATTTTCAGGACTGTTCTCCAATTTCAAAGTTCAAAAGTATCAATATTCTTTCTTCTTCAAAGTCCAACTTTCATTTCCATAAAGTCTCACAGAAATACTTGCATGATTCTCATTTTTGTATGTAGAGACATCATGGCATCAAAATATTTTTTTCCAAGGCCTTCATGGCTACTCCACCAAGTGCTAATTCTATGGCATATTGTATTTCTTGACTGCTTGTTCCTTTACTATTGATGTTTGACAATAAAAAGCAGAAATCCACCATTTTGGTATCTTCATTGTAAATTCTAAGGGACCTCAAAAATCACACCATGCCACAGTGAAAAGTAGACATAAATGACCACAGGATGGCAACAGTGTCCCATAGGAACATTCTCCCATATGTACTTGACCTGTTAAGGAAATCCAATGTGCTGATTTCTCACCCAATTGGTGACAAGGACCTGCCCAACCTATATCTTCCCACACTCTTTCTAGTGGTAGAAAAAATATATTGTCCTGAGTTGTTTCTACATGCTCTAAAAATCTATACCACAATTGATTGCTTGTTCAGTTACTCTTTAAATTGCCTCACTATTGGATATCAAATAATAGAATGACTTTGTTCTTATTTGTGTACAGAATCATTGAACTAAATAATTGTAGATTTTGGAAGGGATCATAAATATAATCTTTCCCAACCTGCAATGTGCAGGAAACCTAATCATCCTTGAGAGCTGGCCGTGTAGCCTCTTAAAATTTCCCAAGATGTAGAACCCACATCTTCTAAAATAGACTATTCTAGTGTTTAACAGATCTCATTCTCAGGAATTTTTTCTTTTATATATAAGCAAAATATAAAAAGCTGCAATCTCATCCATTAGTTCTGGACTTAGTGCTGGTGGAAAATAATTCTTGATCATTTTCTCTATGGCATCCCCATACCTGTCTCTGGTCTTCCCATATTCTCTTTGTAAGTATATGATATCACTTTACATTAACCCAACGGACCCCATGAGTGAACTCAACTACATCAGTTGTCAGAGTATTAAATATTTTAACTACATGAGTTGTTTCATTGCAGGTTATGGCTTTTAGATGTTAGATCTGTCACACCTAATTTATTACTTTAGTCCTAATTTGTGTCTCATAAATCTCAGCATAGTCAACAGCTGTGCTTGGAATTATGGAAGCTGAAGTTCAATATCTGAAAGATACCAGATTGGGAAGGTTGAAATGGATATTAGTTTTGATGGGGGACTTGTGTATGTGTGTGTGTGGGGGGGGGGTGTTTGAATGCCACTGTTTGAAAAACACTAGTTCACTTGACTGCATTTTTTCTAATGCTTCAATCTAAAGGGGCCACTAAGAACTGATTTCATTGCCTGATATTGATAAGAAGAAACAATCAAAGACAAACCCTTTAGATTCTGGATCTACTGGAAGTTATTCTAATCCAGCCTTCCCAATGGTTTTTTTTTTTCCCACATACAGGGATTTCAGTTCTCTTAGTTCCTATCTAGCATAGCCAAATTGTCTGGGAATTAAGGAAACCTAGAGACCATCAAGTTGGGAAAAGTCTTACCTAACCAGTATTAAACAGGTGGTATGTTCTATTATGTTTTTGTTTCATAATATCTCTTACCTTAGTCAGAAGTCAATCTTTCTGTTATTTCCATCTCTGTTGAAACCTCTGGTTTCAATGACATCTTGAAAAATTCTCCCTGAGAGTTGAATGGCCCCCACCCTGCTGGTGTTTGGAAGGGCCTTGAAGACCTGGCTCTTGACCCCAAAGTTGGAAAGGATCAGTAAGACCTATTCTTCCCACTCAATTTATCATCCTGCCATGTTACCTTTATTTCCTGATATTTCTAATGTCTAATTTTAATATTTTAAATAATTTGCAAACCACTCAGAGTTTCTGGGAGTTGGGTAGTTGTAAATTTTAATAATAAAAATGTCAAATCGAGTCTGAACATCTGGCTGACTGTGCGATGAACCATAATAGGCCAAATTGTGGTATATGAGCAAGGAATAGGCACTGTATTAAATATGAGGTTTAAAAGTGAAGCAAATTCAGTAAATACTAACTGCTTGGTAATTCAAATTGTAAGAGGAAAAATGTATCATATTTTCCAGGCAATGTAAAGACTTCCATCCAGACAATGATATAATTGGTATCTTCATCCAGGTGAAACAAGTCCACTGGGTCCTTGCCAAATGACCCAAGCAGAATGTGGGACAGATGTTTTCCCTTAGGCAACATCTGTTTCTTATTCAAAGCCAAGCAATCTATAACTGGAGATGCTACTCTTAGGCTGTGCAGCAAAGGAGGAGAAG